TAAAGTCTCTCTTTTGTTAATGACAGTGATGATGGTTCTTAATGCCAGTTGACTGCTGTTCATTTTACAAGGTTGAAATATGGTATTACTATATTCTGTTATAGTTTATTAAATAGTTTAGTAAACCATTTGATTCAGAATATTTTTTTTCTTGCTTTCCTCCTCTAAAAACTAGGTGTGTCTTATGGTCAGGTGCGTCTTATAGAGCGAAAAATACGGTATGTGACTTATCTCTAGGGAACTACGTGACTTGTTTAGCGATGCATCGTCACTGGCAGCCTAGTTTCCTAGAGACACAATATGTATAGCTTTTCATTTTGGGTGTTGGCTCAAGCATATCCAAGCCAGTATGTTTCAGGGCATGTGTAGAGCTTGTAATTCCCCTTTGGTTTTTCTTTAGAATTTGTCCTTGTAACCAGGCCCTCAGCTGCAACAAGGACATTTATGGTAAGAAAAAGAAAATGGCGGTACAAACAATTCTTGATGCCTACTTCAAGGCGCAGCTTCAGTGATAACCCTCCCTGCTCCAGCAGCACAATTAAACCTTGACTTTTCAGCACTAGGTCCATCTCCATCATCATCAGTGAATGTTAGGCATAATGTGACCTCAAGAGTGTGCTAAACTGTTTAACTCTTTCTTTTGTTTTTTAAATACTGTACACCTACCGACATACACAGAGATTCTCTCTCTTCAGTACCTGTAGTTACTTTATTATTATTACTAAGTTGTATCGTGTTCAAGATGTTTTAGCAAATATGGAAGTATTTCTTAAGTGTTTTATATGCATAGAAAGGTAAAATATATGCATATACTAAGGCAAACATTTGGCTTATTTACAAATTCAACTTAAGGATGTTCTTGGGAATGGAACTTGTCCGTAACCCAGGGACTAACTGTAATTTGTCAAGCTTAGCTTTGTCCTGTGAGTCTGCAGTGGTCACTGAACATTAATTTTTAGACATACATGTGGATGTGTGCTTCCAAACAGTTTTGCTGATCACTGCTCTGCTGCTGTTCTTGTGCTGGGTAGCAAAGAAAAAGGGCATTGACATGGTCTTGGCAAAGTCTCAGGAGCATGATTGTTGATTGTTGAGCAATTCCTTTTCTTTGGGTTTAGCAAATGTATAGCATACAGCAGACCACAACTATATCAAAGATTGATTTATTTAATTAGTTAAGATATGCTCTTTCTCTATATCAAAAACAGCTGAACTTGCCTTCAAATTTCCAAGAGTGCCATTCCATCCCTAATGGCAACAACAACCAGAAAGCTTTAACTTTCAGACAAATATTTTGCAGTTGTTCCTATCTATTGAAAAATGAGGAAAGAAAGGACAAAATGGAAAGGAGTGATGGGAAAGGGGAAATGGCCACCCTATACAGAGACTGCTGGGCTTTGAATGCCAGTAAAAAATGTTCATGCCTTTTGTTAATCGCCCAGACAGCCTCAGCTATTGAGCAGTATGAAAATGAAATAAGTACAATACGTGGAAGAGAAGATGTGAAGAAAGCTATGGTATAGTATAGGGAGTGGGCAGCAGAGAGGGAAATCTGCGAAACTAGAACCTAGAAAGCAGACTGTTTCACTCATAGGACTTCCTCACTGCACGCAGGTGTTATGTATACTTGTACACCAGGCAAACGTTGACACTTGTCATTCTCTCATGGTTTCCCATCACTTCTTCCATCTGTTTTTTATACTACAGTAAATCTGATAAGAAAAGAGGGAATAGCTGCACAATGCTTTCTGACAGTTTGTACTAAGACTTCTCTTTTTTGGAAGCACCCCTCATTTGAAACAATAGTACTAAGGCCAACATTGCATGTCCCATTTCAGGCCAGCTGCTACATTCATGTGCTCTTCTTGCATCGTTAAAGTTGAGAGCGTAAGGCTAGTGGACTCCTAATTGGAGAAAAGCACAACTGTACATTTACAGATTGAGAGAAGTGTAGCTGTTTTACCTTTTGTCCTACTGTGGCAACCAATAAGTATTTTGCAAACAGTCTATAGGAGGACAGCCAGTGACATCATGGCATAATCCACTTTTTATGCTAGTTCAATATTCAAATACATGTCATTTTTACTAAAATTATTAAAGTTTGCAATGCATTCTTTAATATGCACTATAATTAATGTGACACTTTATTGTTCACAGTTAATATAAATTAAAAGTTGAGACTAAGGTGGACAGAGTGTTTAAAAGTTTTTTTTTCCAGAAATGAGGAATTTTTGAACTATCAGAGGCAGTAGAAATGTAATAGAAACAAACAAGAAATGAGGACCAAGAAAGCACCAGCTCTGGTTCAAGTTCAACAGGAACATCTGAATATTGTCAACAAAGTCAGGGCCTGAGTTTCATTCTAATGGTATTGGATTGTATGTGAATTCATCTGTAAAACTAACACATGATTTTAAACATAAACTTCCTGTGAAAGCTTATACATCTGCAACAAATTATGATTTCAAGGCAGAGGGGAAAAGGCCAAGCTATTTCCATCATGTATGCATGCACCAATATTCCCCACAGTTTATAGATGGCGTAATTTGGAAATGCCACACAATTTTCCCACCATCTGTTCATCATGGGATGCAGGGGGCTTTTAACACTGCACTTTTCACAAAGTACAGACTTTTCATGAAAAGTGCAAGAAATCTTATTTGAAGTGCTTGGTACAGAAATGCATCAGTGCATGCAAACTAATTTCTTGGTCCCTGCATGTCAAATTCACAGTGCTGTGAAGTATATAGTAGAGGAAAAGTAGGTAGCAGCATATGACATTGCTTTGTATGGAAAAAGCAGCCCATCTGGAAACGTATAAAGCCTTTCAGTTTCACATTGGGCAAATTCAAGCATAACAAGCCACAATGGAAACTGTGCAGGCATAGTTTGTTGTTACATCTGAACTCAGCATCCATGGTGAGGCATGGTACATCTGGTTTCTATGACAATACATGGAGAAACAATGGCTTGTTGTAAGTTTTGTGCACTTCACCATGGCTTGTTTTGTCCTCTGAAACCACTGGGGAGTAGGGAGGTAGCACAGCAAAGGAGAGAACTCGGGAAGGGCTGGGAACTGGGCAGGGTTTGCAGCAGGAGCTCAGTAGTCTGTCAGATATAGAGGTTCCTCCCCCTGAAGTGGTGCTGCCAGTTGCTAGGAGACAACACAGGTGGAAGATTCAGTTCCAGAGAAAATGGGAGGAGCCCAACAGGTGAGGTTCCACAGTGCTTTGCCTGTGGGACATTGCAGGAGAAAAGCGTATGAGGGTTGGGGACTGAGAAGTGCTAGAGAGGACTCAACACAGCATGCTGGGCAAACTCAGAGATGTGCAACAATAGGGATGAGTAACAATAAAGCCTTGTGGGAAAAATAAAACCCTCTGGAGCAACCTGCTTACTCAGGAGGAGGTCCATGCCTCACAACAGCAGGTGGAGCAGTGCACTCTGGGACTGATTCTGAGCTATGGGGCTGATGGGATACTGGCTATCATTTGAAGGGAAGATGGAGAAGCATGGAAACTATGAATGCATGGAAACCAAACACCTGAACCCAGGACGCAAGGTGAGATACCATTCCGCATGGTTACTGTGCAGCATAGCTTAGCATTACATGTGAATGCAGCCATTGTGGCAAGAGATGAGATGCTACAGAAATAAACATTTGGAAAATTCTCCACTTAACACTGACTATAAACCTATTTTAACTGAAAATGAAATTAAATTGTGTGAAGATCCAGTTAAAAAGAATTGTTTTATGGCCAACATTTCAGTGTATTTTTAGTCATTGCTAATCAAAGTGCTAACATAGAAAGCAGCAACCATAATTTGGCATATATTTGATATCACAGCTGGTACAATAATTCCCAGGTTTTGCAACACCAAACAAATCTGATGCTACCTCAGAAGATACAAAAATCAGCTTAAATCTTACAGAATTATATGTTCAAGGATACGATGGCTGGTCTAAAATGATAGGAAAATTGATTCAATCCAGTTGTGAGTAACTTGAATATCATACTTGTGAAGTATCTTACTTGTACAATTGACACAGTCAAAGCCACCACTATATTTATTGAAATAATGTGAAGTTCTCATGACACGCCATGCAAACTCAATGCAAGTTACTCACCCCCTTCCTCCTCCTCAGTCCTCCTGTCAGTATCCCAGGGGACATGACAGCAGGACCAACGTGTACTCTCTCCCCATGACTCACTGGGGCTTCCCCCCTTTTCAGTGTAACAACCCTTCTGAACTGCCCAAGGAACACACTGGAGGGCTGTCACGGGTTGGCCACCCCCTTTTCTTTCTAATATTTGTGCTCCAAATGTGCACAACTTTCATTTTTATTTTTCTATTCAGAATTGTGCAATTGTGGAGGTGTGCACTTCTGTAGGTCCAGTACAGGAAGCCTCATTTGGGCAATGTTTGGGTGTACCTGCTGTCAAAGTGCAGTAAGTACTAAGCCTGAATATTGATGCAGAGAAGCTCCACATACACACATTTTTCATGTTGCTCTCATTCCATGTTGAGTGATCTTTGCTCATGAGAAGTGGATGGTTAGAGCTCCCTTCCCATGCTCAACAGTACTTAAGATGATGCACATTTTGCACTTTTCCCTGAGATTCCAGGTCCTTGGAAAGTATAAAAGCCATACTCGTTGCCCAATCAACCCCCACCCCCTTTTAAAGAGATCCCAAAAATGGATATGATGCATTTTGGTACTTTTCTGAGCACCTAGAGTTTTGGGAAAAAGTGGAAACTGCGCATAACTGTGAGGTCTATGGTAGGTGTCTGGGGGAAGGAGAGCCTCCACATTCCTCCTGCTTGGCAAAGGAGCCGGACAGCTCATTTTGGCTATCTAACTGTGGCACTTGGGAAGGAGAGGAAAGGAGGCTGACATGCCACCTGGATCTTGGCAGCACTAGTCTTCTCCCCTCTCTTCCTCCAAGAACGCCCCTAAACCTCTTCCCCAAGGTGCTGTTACAACTGCAGGAAAGTAACTGGCACAATTCTTCCTGCACTAGCTTTTTTTTAAATCAAATTTTATTATTTTCTCTATAAATCCAAGACTAAAACAACAATTATTCAGGACATTGGACATACTGGATCGACATCTCTTTTTTACACTCAACAACCATATTCAATTCTACACATATTCCCATTTCTCTAACCAATAATAAAAAGTGTTCCAAGTTTGACAGAAGTATGTATCGTCCTTCTCCTTCAAAGACAAGGTCAATCTGTCCATCTCCACGCAGTCCAAAACCTTCCTGCACTAGCTTTTGTGGCTGGGAAAGGAAGTCTGAACACATCCTCAGCTCCAACTTCTTTTCTGCCCTCAGAACTTGTCATCTAAACAGTTTGATTTTTCTCTAGGCACTGTCTGGGGCCACAGGAATGCTCTGCTATATGTACATTTCTTGTATGCACAACATGTGTATATGCATACTCACACACACTTGCCCCTCCTTCTCCCCATCCATCACATACAATTCCAAATTCTTGTGGAAAGTCCTGCTAAGATGCATTGAAATGAAGCCAGAGATACAGGCTTTTTGAAACAAATGTTTAAAGACATGCTAAGGAAGTGGTAGTATTTCAAGTCAGTTTTATTTGATGACAAACACTGAAGTTATGCAGAAGATTTAAAAAAAATCATACATCAGGACAGTTAAAATCTACAGCATTGAAACCTATTTCACCTTTTGCTTCAACAAAGCAGAATTTCAATAAAGTCCGTTAGTAGTTGGTCATTCAACTGTCAGCTACTGTGAATTCAGAATGTTTCACTGATGTTTCCTTCAGATCTTTTGGCTGTTCTTTTGATAGTACTGGAAAGCCCCAATAAAACAATATTGCACAGATGAAGAAATAGATGCAGCTGTAAGGGTGAAAAGTTTAGCAGCTAGTATTGAGAATATAAGGATTATTCAAAGTATAGAAGGTCCAGTTGATCAAGTTCTCCCACAAGGAGAGGCAGGGCTGGCTCCAGGGTTTGAGGGCCCTTCTGCAAGGCATTCTCAACAGGCCCCTCCCAAGGTGAGTCTGTGGCATCACTGCACTGTCACCAGCTGCTATTCATCCTTTCTCATCCTTGTTACCACGTCCATGTCACCCAGAGCGCCAATCAGCCAGCAGAGAGTGACATCTGCTGCTGCTGCTCCTCACCACTGCTATTGTCTGACCCACAGCCAGATGCAGGTGACCCCCACTGCAACCTGTTGCCTGAGCAGGCAGAGCAATTCGAGGGGTTGACAGTGGGTTCCTGCTGTGGTGTGGGCCTGCAGCAGGTGCCCAACTATACTAACCCTTGATAAGGCTGCATTCTCAGGAACAACATATTGGGGCTAAAGCCAAAAGTGGGTCAAGTCACTCCTTTGTCCTGGACACCCCTCTTCTGCCTCACATAAGGAGGCTGGCTGCTGGAAGAAGGACTCCTGCCAGAGTTCTGAAATAATTTCTTGCCAAGGGCCACCTTAAGAGACAATTTGCTCACCCCTTTGCAATTTATCTTTAAATTAAATTTAAAAAAAAAACCTTATCTGGTACAAGTAAAGCACCATGTATTACCAAAGACACTCTAGTTATTTCCATATGATATATTCTGAATTCAACCAAATTTCCCATTCAAGTCCCCACATATCCTATTTCAATATCAGTAAGGCTATTCATCTGGAAGCAAAAATTGATCACATTTATGACATTTACCCACATGGATACTGAAGCAAGCATACTGAATTATGGAAACAGTGATTTTTAAATTAGCTGTCTATCATTTAATGAACTGTCTAAAGAGAGAAGAGTGATAAGCCAGTTTCCAATATTATGTCCTATGGTAACCAAGAATTAAAACTCAGAATGGAACCAAGCTACAGATGTGAGCAAAACCTGGTTCTAAAAGACCATGACACTAGGAACAGGTAACTAGTTTATCCTTCACTCGACTACATCTGAGTTTTTCCCATATAGGGAAACTGCTGCTGCCCATTCTTTAGGTGTGTGGGAAGGTAACAATGTTGGACTTGAAGACCATGGATGCTTCCAGATGTGCTACAGATCAAAAGTCACTGTGCGCTAATTACATCTTTTCTTCTTGGAGTTTTTCTAGTACCAGAAAAAAAGAGGAATAAGTAGTAGGAAGACATGGGGGATTACAAATAGAAGACAGTGTCTAGATTTCCTATGAAATTCTGTTTGAGGCAAGGTCATTGTAGGATGAAAGCCTTGTCCAGAAGCACCCCATGTTGCAGCAAGGTCGCAGCCTTTCAGGTCCTCCTGAAATGAGGTGCCCCAACCTCCACAGGCTATGCACATGTTATGTACACATGGCTTTCACTGTCTACATTCACTTATGCATCCTCTCTCATCTTTCATTATAATATACATTTCACTACTGTTTAAGAAAAGCCACTGTATGTGGGCTTCTGCAAGAAGCCTTAAAGGAATTAAGATCATGTCCTCTTTTACTATCACTGTAATTCTACTAAGCTATTTTGTTAAAAATACATGACTTTTTAACACTTTAGGGTCTAATTCTGTGCTCTGATTAAGCTCCATGGTGGTGTCACTCAGAAGTGGCTATGCTGCAGATTTTCCTGCAAAGCCTCTATTTGATGCAGGACTATACAATGGGGGTTTTTTAAGGCAGAGAAGAGATGGAGAATGACTCACTGCTGGCATTGTGCGGTCTATTCAAAGGGTTATCAAATCAGACCTGGGCTCCTAATTCAGGTGCTTCACTGAGGCTACAAAGAACTTCTAGTTAAAAACAGGCAAGTTGGATTGTTGTCCAACTGTACCATACATGCCCTTTTTGGAGGGCTGCTACAGCTGCTGCTTGAGCCCTGAAAGGAATTGGATTTAAAAAGCCCACCTGAGAACTCAAGCACACTTACACAAATTTAAGTCCCAAAATTCATTCCTACCTTAATCTGAAATACAGGAAGCTCAGCAACAGGAATCTGTTGCAGGAAGCTCGGCAACAGAAGAAAAGTCAAGGTAATAGCTCACCTTAATTACCGAGTCTTTGTTGTTCCTACTGTTCCATTGTATAGAGTTGGTGTTAATTCATTCAGTTCAGGGTCATCAAAAAAGTATGCCTACATTGTTGAGGAACAGTGCAAAAAGAACAGTACGATAAAAATATCAGAAGTGAACATCCATTGCAGCCACCCCACCCCTGCCACAGCTTACAATATACTGCATGCAGGGATGGCACAACAATTTGACTACTAGATTTATATGGCTAAAATAGCATTTCTACTAAAAGTCAGATTTTGAAAAACTAGTTATTTGTAAGAGATTGAACAAAACAGATATAGTACAAATACTTATCCAAAAAATTATAAAAACTAAAATGAACAGGGAAAACAGCTTAAAAAGCAAGTGCTTAAGAAAGACATGACATTTAAGTATGCACAAGATACTGTTTGGCATCCTGCATCTAAACTGAAGACTTAACTGCTGAAAAGGCTGTCTATCACTAAGAGAGTTCCTATGCCAAATCTGACCGGCAGATTTATCATTTAGAAAATGATAAATTTCTCTGGAGATGCAAATAACAATGTGTTCATATTTCTGTGTTAAGCATAAACACATCTCAACATTTGTAGCTTCAACTGTTCAAATCAAAAAGAATTAGAAAACAGAACTGCCATACCAAGCAACCAACAGCAAGCAAGGCATGGAAAAGTACAAGTGTCACAATTGTAGCAATTGCAATTCTTCGGCTGTCATCTCTAACTGCAGGCCAAAATGTCATCACTAAGACAGATCCTGAAAGACACAGAGCAAATACCACCAAAACCCATCTGAGAGCTTTCTGCGGAATAATCCACAAAATCTGGAATTAAAAAAAAAGGAAATAAAGTCCAATCTTTGTCAGGTCTAATCAAATGAAATCTCTACAAATATTATACTTGGGTTTCCCCTACATCAACCATTGACGTCTAATACCATTTCCAACCAGAACAATGAATTGGTTCTAATGTAGCTGCCTTTTCTGGACCTTCTCTATAGATAAGGTATTTCTAGATCTCAGTTTATAAAGCTGAGTTTTCAATTAATGATTCTTCCTCAGGATAAAGCCTGGAACTGTTCCCCACAATGCAGGGATTATTATGGTCACTAAAGACAGGACACTTAAACAGAACCAATGCAGACAGTGAATAATTCTATGGAAATATTCTGCATTGCTACTATCCAAAAGCCAAATAAGTGATGAAATGAATCACTCATTATATATTATATTATAGCATAGCATAGCATAGCATAGCATAGCATAGCATAGCATAGCATAGCATAGACACTCTTCCCTGAAGATTAAGGCACTTAAAATGTCTACATGTGATTGCGTCTTTTGTATGTCAAAATGAAGAGGTCTGCAGAAAAAAATTGCCAGAAATAGAACCCATAAACCAACTCTACAAAATTTATTCCCCGGTTTAGCCACTGAGGCTGCACAGAGCATAACATCTATACATAATCACTGAGATGAATTATGGGCATAAAAAGGCAAACATTTCTTAATCTTTACTATGTATGCAAGATGATCTGCCAGTATTGTGTAAAACACCTCAATTACTGTTACTATTACTATTGTTCCTGTGGCATGTCAACAAGCTGTATTGATCTGCTTCTTTTAGAAATACCATTTATTTAGCACTTGTGCTTCATAAATATACATAATGAGTACTTACCGCTGTTGGAATATAAATGAAGAGTGAATAGCCATAAACACACACAATCTCAAGAAATGAGTAGGAGACAATGTTCATAACTTTATTGTTCCTCCACATAAGGAATCCCCAGAGAGCTAGAGGAACTAACCAAGCATAAGCATAGATGGCTGTAGCAGCTATGGACACTGTAAAGAGATGGAAGTTTAATGCTAAGACTCATACTGAGAAAAGTGACAGCCTAACACATCATGGAAACTTTGATTTCATGGGTGTAAATCAGACTACACATCAGGCAGCTGTATTACAGTATGGTTTAATTGATTTATTATTTAAAAACAAAACAAATAGTGTACATAATTATAAAACAATACAAGTGATAAATTAGTAATAATGATCATGACTAAATGATACAATAATAACCGTGTTACCTTCCACCAGGACCAACAGATACATGCTACTTAGTGTAAAATCATTGATTCCGCTCCTGCTCCCCTTCAAAACCTACACTGAATCTTATAGTGGCATACATTCCTTTCCGTTTACTAAATAAAAGGCCTCTAAAAATCTTCAAAATTATGTTTATCACGCCTTTTTTCAACAATATCGCAAATTATTATCATTAATAGCTATATTCCAGATCGCTTTATACCAAGCATTTGATAGTCACCTTTTATTTTCCATTTTTTTTGCTATTATTCTTACTGCTGTTATTAAGTTTGTCACCAATTCTTTAATATTTTGTCCCACTTGTTCTCTAAATAATGACAATAATGTGAGTCCAGAGTCTACTTCAATATTTAGATTCAATATTTTACTAATTTCTTTGAAAGCCATTTTCCAAAATGTATTGATATATTTATACTTCCATCACATATGGAAATATGTACCTACTTCCTGGTTACATCTCCAACATATATGGGAATATTTATAATTTATATAATTCTAACTATTCTTTCAACTTAATATGTTTATTGCTCAATATTTCCTGCAAACTACCCCATAAATTCTCTGGAAATCCTATTAATACTGCAAATGGATATAACAGCAAAACTGATGGCACACATTTTTGCATTTATTCCAAATTTGGACTGCATTCTTAAAAAGGGGGGTTTCTATCTTTTTAATAATATTTTTATTATACTGTTGGAGAAAAATATTTAATAAGAATCCCTCAATAATTCTATTATTTTATTGGGCTGGAGTATAATATTTGATATATGTTACATTTGATTTCCTATATAATAAAGCCCCACATTAGGAATACCTAGCCCTCCTGTTTTCTAGGACATATTCCATCTCTTTTTAATTAATCCTTGCTTTTTTATCCCCATTACAAAATTTATTAATCATATTTTGCAATTCTTTCAAATCTTTATCTTAACTGATAACATCATAAACAAAATATTATCGTGGCATTTAAAATGGAGATTTTAAATGCTGTTATTCTGCCAAACCAAGATAACTCAATCTTCCTAAAAGTTTCATTCATTTCCTATTTTAATTCATCAAAATAATTATTCTTTAAACATTGCATTTTTGGTAATATTTATACCTAAATACTTGATAGTTCTACATATCTTGACTTCTAGGAAAAATACTGAAATAGATGGCTAAATTTTCCGAATTTCTTGTCCAATCATCTTTATATTTCTAAATAACTAGGAGCTAAAATCAGATGCATACAACATACTCAGAATTACTCAATTCTGTTTGACTATACTGAAACTCACTTCCAGATTTCAGCTCCCTAGCTAGACCCAGTATAGTATATAGCTTGCAGTTGTACCCCTTCCTTGCTTTACTTTGGTGAACAACAAAACACCCAACCCTGAAGTGAGACTTGTTGCAACATCACTTCATGGCAAAGTTATGTCCCCTTTTTATGCATTGTTCAGTCATATTTTATATAGTGTCTTCTCTAACCTTAGCTAGAGCAGAGATGAATCAAGATTTCAATCCTGATTTGAATAATAAACAAAAACAGGAAGCAACACCTTTTAGATATGTTAACAGTTTAATATTTAATTAAATGTTGTTTCTGCTTTGTGATATTTTTGTCATCTGTTTTGATGGATTGTGGAAACTGCAAAGAAAGCTTCAGCTGTGGGGTGGTATAGAAATAAATTATTATTTTTATTATTTATGGTTTTTTTAAATAAAACCTTCATCAAATGCAATACTAGGTGGAAGTAATATGGAATAGTCACTTATAATCATGCAGAAAGTGAGCATTCCATTTTCATTGATAGAAATAGTAATGAAAGGTAGTCTCCCCAGTATGTATAATAGCCAAAAAAATCTCTGTTGAAACAAGATTAATTCAATCAGATGTTAGTATTACATTCTCACTTTGCTCACTAACAGAGTGCCTAATATTATTAGTCTTCCTGTCAAATTTATGTCTGCACAGTCTTTCCCTTAAAGTCAGACTCAGTTGTTTGATACATACTGCCAGAGGGAACTGAATACACAATATTAGGTAAGCAAATTAGCCAACCTGTAAATACAAATAGCCAAGATGCAATAATCTGCATGATGTGGGCCACTAAGGACATTTTTACTGTTGATTACTTGCCATTGGCATTTGAGTCTGTTGCAAGGTCTGCTGCCTGGCTCCAAATCAAAAGACTGAATGTTTTCTGTCCTTAGTCATCGCTTATGTTTAGGCGGGTACCTATAATGCAAGCATGTGTTTCCTTCCATTTTCATCTCATCTTCATTTCTCTAGAACTGGTTGCAGGTCTCTTTAGGTAAAAGAAACCTTCAGCTGGTAATTGGAAGTAATTTACTGGGGTGAGATATCCTATTAATAAAATTAACTACTTTAATAAACTAATCAAGCCTGAGCTTTTGAAATCTGGTTAACCACTGTGCTTGCATTGTATTTCAGATTAATAGAAGCTTGTTTTAGTTCATCTAGCTTCTCATCACAATCATGTGGATCAGTGTGAATACAGTTGTATCACATGGCTTCAGAGTTTGTAACAGATCTTTGTATACGGACAGAGGAATATAGCTTACTTCTATATAGCATACTTACAGTGGTGCCTTGTACTTCAAACTTAATTAGTTTCAGGAGGCCATTTGAACTCTGAATTATTTGAAGCAATTGTCCCCATTCGAAATAATGGAAAGTGAATTAATCCATTCCCAGACCCTAAACAATATCTATTTTGGTCAACTTAAGCAGCAAATATTGAAATGAATTCAGTTCAAGGTTATATACAAGGTGTGTTCAAAAATATGATGAATGTTTAAATAATTTTAAAAAATTACAGTAAAGACACATTGCCATTAAAAACACCCCCCCTCCCACCTCAAACACCCCAGCGCTGTTATGGCTGCCTCGATGTTCTGAATCAATTCAAGGTGAATTGATCTGAGTCAAGACAAAACGATTCCAGACAAATCGATTCAGGACATTGAGGCTTCTTTTTGACTTGGGCCCACAACTGATAACGTTTTCTCTGCAACTGCATTTTTTCACCTCGCTCACATTTTGAACTTAGAAGCATTGTTTGAACTGCAGAGCGAGTTTATCTTGACTCAAACGTTCAAACTCTGGATTGTTTAAAGTTAGGGTCGTTCGAACTATGAGGCACCACTGTATTTATAGCAAACATTTTATATTGCTACATTTGCTAAAAAATGAATTAAAGTGATTACTTAACTTGGTGATTTACTACAAAGTACACTTGAATAAAAAGTATGTAGATTTTACAAACCTTTCCGGAACTCAGGCACATAATGAAAATTACGATTGCCCAGTTGGAGGAAGAATTTTGAAAGGTTGCCACTGATAGCAATGGCAAAGACTAATGTGGCACATATCCAAAAGGGACCTTAAAGGGGACAAAAGCAAAATATCAATTATTCTGACTTATACTTCTTATACATTACTCTGATTTTCATTCAGCATGAAAGGAAAAGAGGAGTGCCTTTATGACAATGCTACCATTTATACATACCATAAAGATCAGGATTACTTCGAATGTAAAGCCTTACAAAGTTTTTCCCTGGTACTGGAAAAACAGAGCCTTTGATTCTATCCAGGACCTAATAAAAGTAATGCAAAACATTTTACTTAAAATTTTAATTAAAAATGAGCAAAAGTGCTATAACACCTATAGGATTAGAATAACATCTAGACATTGGCCCAGTTTAGGTATCATTCTGTTGGGCCATAACCAATAGTTTATCAGCCCTGAAACAAACCGTGTGCCCACACACTCTCTATTCTGTTGCTCTCAGCTTCATGGGAAGCTATCCGGATTTGCTCTACCTAATTTGTTCAACCTGGCAAACCTGATAGGATTTGCTATCCTGGTTTCCTATAGGGGGAGGAAACCAGCGCGCCAAACGGCCCCACCTCCATCCGCGCCACCTGGACCTCGCCGCTGCTCCGCCGCCTGCTGCTGGCCGCTGCTGCCACTGCCCTGCCACAGAGGCCAGAACCACCGGCCCAAGACCTTGCTCCAGCCTGCTTCCCCCAGCGCGTGAGAGAGACGCGCCGGGACGGGGTGGGGCACGGGGAGGGGCCCTGTGGGCCACAAACCGCTGGAGGCGACCAGGCCGGCCCCCGGGAGGAAACCAGCACGCCAAACGGCCCCACCTCCATCTGCGCCACCCAGAGCCCGCATCGCCCGGACTTCGCCACTGCTCCACCGCCTGCTGCTGGCCGCTGCTGCCACTGCCCCACTGCAGAGGCCAGGACCACCGGCCCAGGACCCTGCTCTGGCCTGCTTCCCCCGGCGCGTGTGAGAGATGCGCCAGGACGGGGTGGGGCACGGGGAGGGGCCCTGCGGGCCACAAAGCGCCGGCGGCAACCGGGGCCAGCGGCCTAAGGGCGGTCACCGTTTGGGAGCCGAGTGGGGGGCTGGGCTGGCCAGGGACTTTGGCCATGGTTTGGTTTTATCTGTGGGTTAGCGGTGGATTACGGTAGGATGTTTTTAATGGTTTTAATTGTTGGTTTTATATTTCTTTTAATTGGTGCATCTCGTGCTTTACTATGATGTCACCTGGGGAGCGCAGGGGCGCCGCCATTGGGGTCGTGATGGGCAATGGATGTTATGGCGTTGGGGGTCTAATGGGTCAGCATAGAAGAAGGAGGGACAGATGGTTAACACCTGTCGCTCTTTCTGGTTATTCCCCCAGCCGGCGGGTTCCAGGTAGACTTGTCAACTGCCCCCCAGGCCTGTCAGTGCTGCTGCTTAATGCCAGGTCAGTCCAAAATAAGGCAACACTCATCCATGATTTGATCATGGATGAGAGGGCCGACCTGGCTTGCATCACAGTGACCTGGGCGGGTGAGGGGGGGATGTTTCCCTCTCACAATTGTGTCCGCCCGGGTACCTGGTCCAGCACTGACCACGCCTGGAGGGGAGGGGAGGGGAGAGGGGGGTCGCTCTGGTTTATCGAGCTTCTATTTCCCTTATGGGGCTTCCTGTCCTCTCGAGGCCGGGGCTAGAGTGCCTCCACTTGGTGTCGGGCAACCAAGACAGATTGGGGATTCTGTTGGTGTACCGTGCACCCTTCTGCCCAACAGACTCCCTGCCTGAGCTGACGGAGATCGTCTCAGACCTGGTGTTGAAGACTCCCAGGATTTTGGTCCTGGGGGACTTCAATCTCCATGCCGAGACGGTTCTAACCGGGGTGGCTGAGGACTTCATGGCCTCCATGGTGGCCATGGGGCTGTCTCAACACATCATTGGCCCGACCCATGAATGTGGACACACTCTGGACCTGGGTTTCTTGACAGGGCAGGAAGAGGGTGATCTGAAGGTGAGGAATTTAAGTTTGACTCCCTTGTCATGCTCAGATCACTTCCTCATAAGGTTTGAGCTCAAGTGTGGCCTTTTCCTCTGTAAGGGTGCGGACCCAATTGTATTGGTCCACCCCCGGAGCCAGATGGATCCTGATGGATTCCTGGAAGCTCTGGGGGATTTTCCAGTTGACAAGGCTGGGGATCCTGTCGATGCCCTGGTTGAACTGTGGAATGAGGAGATGACCAGGGCTATTGACACGATCACTCCCAAGTGTCCTCTCCCACCTGGCTGAGCCCATTCATCTCCTTGGTATACAACTGAATCACGGGCAATGAAGCAGGTTGGGAGACATCTAGAGCGTAGGTGGAGATCACGGGGTGATTCTGACTGAACACATTTAAGAGCCCACTATCGGGCCTATGCTGTGGCGGTGAGTACGGCGAAGAAGAAATTCTTCTCCGTTTCCATTGCCTCCTCACAATGCTGTCCGGCGGAACTCTTTCGGGTGGTGCAGGGACTGGTACATCCGGGCCCAAAGAAAGATCTTGTGCCCCCCTCGAAGGCCTGCTGTGACGACTTTGCCAAGCATTTCAGGGAGAAAATCGCTATTGAACCAGATTCTACTGGAGAGATGCCATCGACACTGTCGAGTCCACAACTGATGGATGAATTTCAACTGTTGCGGCCTGATGATGTGGACAAGGTGCTTGGACAAGTACGCCCTACCACCTGCTTACTAGACACATGCCCATCTTGGCTACTTAAGAAAGCCAAGGACAGGATTGGGACCTGGATCCTGGAGGTGGTCAACGCCTGTTTAAGAGACAGCTGGGTACCTGCCCCTTTAAAGGAGGCGGGAGTCCGGCCAGTGCTAAAGAAGGCATCCCTGGATCCAGAGGTGGTCGCCAATTATAGACCGGTGGCCAACATCCTGATGTTCCTGGGCAAGGTGCTAGAGCAGGTGGTGGTGGGACAACTCCAAGCACTCTTGGATGAAAATGATTATCTGGACCCATTTCAGTCCGGCTTCAGACCCGGGTACGGCACTGAATCTGCCTTGGTCGCCCTGTACGATGACCTGTGCAGGGAGAGAGACAGGGGGAGTGCATCCCTGTTAGTTCTCCTGGACCTCTTAGCAGCTTTCGATACCATCGACCATGGTATCCTTCTGAATGGTATCCTTCTGGAAGCGTGGTCCCCCAGCACCATGCTTCCAGAAGGTGGTGCTGGGGGACTATGGCCCTGTGCCATGGCAGTTATGCCATGGAGTTCCGCAGGGGTCCATTTTGTCCCCTTTGCTGTTCAACATCTACATGAAACGGCTGGGAGAGGTCATCAGGAGGTGTGGGCTGCGGAATCATCAGTACACTGATGGTACTCAGCTCTACCTCTCGTTTTCCACCAATCCAGGTGAGGCAGTGGCTGTGCTGAACCAGTGCCTGGCTGAGGTAATGGGCTGGATGAGGGCCAATAAACTGAAGCTTAATCCAGACAAGATGGAGGTCCTGTTGGTGGGTGGCTTGGGCCTCAGGATGGGGGACTTGGGCCTTGTCCTAAATGGGGTTGCACTCCCTCTGAGGGAAAGGGTTCGCAGCTTAGGAGTGCTCCTCGACCCTGAGCTGTCTCTAGAAGCTTGGGTGATGGCGGTGGCGAGGAGCACCTTCCTTCAGCTTTGGCTGATACATCAGCTGCGTCCCTTCCTGGAAAACGACAGCCTGGCGACAGTGACACACGCATTGGTGACTTCCCAATTAGATTTCTGTAACGTGCTCTACGTGGGGCTACCCTTGAAGACGGTCCGGATACTTCAGTTGGTGCAGAATAGAGCTGCCAGGTTGCTGACGGGGACTGGGCGTTGTTCTCATATAACCCCAGTTCTCCGTCAGCTCCACTGGCTCCTGATTGAAGTCCAGGCCCAATTCAAGGTGTTGGTTATGACCTATAAAGCCCTAAATGGCTTGGGACCTGGTTATCTAAAGGAACACTTGCGTCCATATATGCCCTTCCGCCCCTTGAGATCAGCAACAGATGCCCTTCTCCGAGAACCCTCTGTGAATGATATTAGGAGGGTGAGTACCCGGAGGAGGGCTTTCTATGCGGTGGCGCCCCATCTATGGAATGCGCTCCCCAGAGAGGTCCGCCTGGCGCCGTCGTTATTTGTTTTTCAGTGCCAGGCTAAGACCTTTTTATTTAAAACTTATTTTAATTGTTAAATTATTTGTATTTATAGGATTTTACATTTTTAGCCGAGATGCACCGGGGGGGTTTTAAATAAATTTTTATTGTTATATTGTTATTTATTTATGTATTTTGTTTCTGTTGTGAGCCGCCCCAAAGCTAAATAAATAAATAAATAAACCATAGTTTTTTCATTATGTCCTAAATAGGAATCTGTGGTTTCCCTTCAAACCAGGATATAAAACCAGGATCACTATAGTGCGCATTTCAGTCCCTGCTTCTACATTTTTGATGTGTTGTGTTACAGCAAAAAAACAATCAAAACTGTTTGCTAACATCTATAAAAAGGAAATATTCAGGATTATGCTGTGAATTTTAAACTCACTTGAATCATAGCACCATCACAACTACAGGGAGAAAACAGGGTTTGGTGTTGCTGCCCTGATATTAAACATTTTACTTGGGAATGAGCTGTAGATCATTAACACCTCTTCACACTGCCAAATCATTTTGCCAAAACAAACAAACAAACAAATGAAAACTGATGACTGCTTTACTAAATGTATGCATGATGTCTTACTAGAGATTACTGATTACAAACCTGGTAGGTATCCACATCAAAAAATGTTTGGTAATAGTCAAATGTCCAGAACGGGGCACTTTTCTTCTGCCCAGCAAGTAGCTGGAAAATAAATAATATTTTAAATTTTAAAAGATGCAAAATGCAGGTTATTCATTCAATATTAGCACGTTATTTTAAAAAGCAACCCTTTTCACCTCTTTGCACCAAGTTGAAAAAACTGATTTTAATTTGAAAGCAGAATTTTCAATAAAATCTGTGCCATACAATGAGAACATGAGTAGTATTTTCTTGCCAAGCCTTTAGCTAGGATGTCAGACAATCTGCACTCAATCCCTCCTGTTCAGGAAATGAAAACCCACCCTATGCCACCCAGTGAACTGTAGGTACTCCATCTGTGATATATCCATTTTATCACTACCTGTCATACACACTTTCCTTGCAGTCCTATGAGTATACAGGTGGATGTATTCCTCTCAACCTGTTCCCACCTTCTACAGAAGAGGTGAAATTAGGGTTACAGAACAAATCATGGTGAATAAAATCTTCTTGCATTCTGATGAAACAAGATTTATATGCACTTTGTAGTGCATATAATGACAAACAAACTATACAGAACATGGCTCCTTTTTGCTACCTGGAAGCCTGACCATACAAGGAGAATCCTACATTATCTCTTTTCCACAGATAGTCACCATGGCTGGCTTCCACTTCCATTTTTATAGAAAGTGTTTAATGTTAATTAGCAGCTTGAAAAAGAGCAGCCAGTTATCAGACAGAAAACTTGCACTGTCATCTAACCTCAGTTTTGTCAGAATCATCTGTTCCCAATAGCTCATCATCCTCCTCTCTCCCAGAATCTTGCAGATGTCCATGCTTTTTCTTGGGTTTCTCAGCAGGTTCATCAATGCTTATTGTCACAGCATCTGGATTTGCTGCCAACAAGTTGGCTGCATCATCAAATTCTGAAAAAGAAATATTCTCCTCAGGATTTAATTTTTTCCATTTGTGTTATTTGTCAAATATAACCAATTATAAATACCAATTGTCTGGTATTAGGACTTATGCATCATACTTTTAAAACTATAAAACAGTGATCCTTTGCATCCTAGACAGCATCTAGGGAGCCCATTGGATTCTCAGATTTGAGGTCAGAAACAGAGGTCTGACTTTGAACCTTAGTATCTCTACTCTGATTCCTCTCCTTCTGCCTTGCACCTGGCTGCTTCCCTGAGGTTGGAAAGGTGGACTTCAGAGATACAGAAAGGGCATGGGGAAGGGAGGGCAGGGAAGTAAGGCTGTCAGAATACAAGATAACCCTTCCCTCCCACTCCAAAATGCCTCAGCTAGATAGCCAAAAATGGCCATCCAGCTAAATTGTAGAACAGGAGGTGGAAGATCACTTTTGCTTTTCCTCCCACTTCACCAGATGTTCAAAAGTGTTACATCAATTGCACCCTAAATGCTTTCAAAGATGTATGTGCATGTTGATGCTGAATTAACAAAGTGTTTCCTTATTCAGGTTACAAATGCTGGTCTGTCTCCTCCCTTTAACCTGTATGTTACCTGATCACTGGATTCACATCCATGAAAGAGTTCACAAGGCAGATTTATGAACCAAAGGCCAGTGACATAACACAGAAACAAACAAATCTAGCAGATACAGGAGATAAATTAATTCAACTGATATAAATGCCAACATTTTGAGAAATTAATTTATCAGAGGACTAAAAACCCAGGAACACAGTGTACATTGCAACTTTCTAGATGAAAAGTTCTAAAAGCAGCCACTGGTTAGATTCCTTCTATTTGCCTTCTGGATCTGTTGGATTTCCTCTTGTTTCAACCAGAGAACCGACTGAAGGAAATGCAACATCAGAAGTGAATTCAGCTCAGCCTTCAAACCTAACCAGAACCTAAGACTTGGATAATGTTATGTCCAAACCTATAACTAGCTAGTTGGGTGAGGAACAAGCCAGAGTTTTAGATTCAGATTTAACACTAACCAAGCCAGGTAACTGAAACCCTTGGCTTGCCTAGCCACTTCCATTAGTAGGAGATGGATCAAAGCACAAATTACTTAGTTAAGCATCCTTCTTCTCAAGTTGCCCAACCAGATGCCTATGGGAAGCCTTCAGTCAGGACACATAGGCAAAAGTAATCTCATAATTCAGAAATTGCTTCTGACCCTCATGGTAATTATAGTCATCATGGGCATGAGCCACTGACAGCCATATCCTCCATGGTCTAACTTCCTTTGAAAGGCATCCAGGTTGGTGACCACCACATCTTGTGGTAATGAATTCCACAATTTGTCTAAAATGTATCCTTTTATCTGTCTCAAACTTCTTACCATTCTAGTATTATGAAAGAAGGAGGGAAAGTATCTCTTTATTCATTTTTTTCAACATCACAACATAAAACCTCTATCATTTCACCTCTGAGAGGAAGGGAGGGAGCATAAAATATGCATTCCACTCTGAGCACCCTGGAGGAAGAACAGAATAAAAATATAATGAAAGTAACAACTGAGAAAGTCCTCATTATGTAGGGTGAGTTTGCTTAGTTCCATAACTGACAACACAGTTTTAAAAAGGAAAATAAATTGGTAGTGATACCAGCGCACAAGCCTGAGCAATATGAACCAGATATTCATTACAGATGGGTCAGTGAGTTGAGTCCCACAGTAGAGACCACAGAACAATCCAGAGCCTTTAAACAGGTAATTTGATCATTTACCTTGAAATTTTAGGTCATCTGCCGTTGCCATTCATGCACCAATGTTCTGACGAGGTAACCCAGAAATAAAAATAGCTGAAAAACAAGAAGCAGTTAAGCTTAGATTTAATCTTACTATTCATACATTGAGGAAACTGGCTGCTAAAGTTGTAGAAGCTACATGGAGTCATCCTGTAAATCTCACTGAAGAATACTTCATACAGTTTTCAAATAAGCTCACTCACTTCATGCTTGTTACATATTACTACAGGCAATAAGGAGGTGTAAGGAAGATTTCTCTGGGCAGAAGTGTCTATTCAGGCCCTACCACGAACTCTGTGATGCTTCCTTTCCAAAAATTATACCCCACTCCACTTAAATGCTTCCCTGGGATGGGCGAACAGAAGAGCAGCATACTCTGGTTTCTACTGTTTCATTTAGAATCAAGAGTTCTGCAGTTCACAACAATTAACTATACCATACAACATAAAATACATCACATAAGGTTAAGACTAAAAAGAATAGAAATAAAAATTGAATACTTTAAAACAGAAGTAAAAACCAAAGTAAAACCTAGGATTAATAACAGATTTAAAATGGAAAATGAAAGTAAGAGCCAGTATAGTGGTTAAAGTGTGATCCAGGTTCTAGTCCCCTCTAGCCCACTGGGTGACTTTGGGCCAGGCACTGACTGTCAGCCTAATCTGCCTCACAGGGTTGTTGTACAGAAAAAAATGGGGAGGAAGAGGATCCTATCTTCATGGAGGAAAAGAGGCGGGCTATAAATGAAGCAACAGTGACTAAAATCCCAGGAAAAATGCAACGTTTTCACCTGAAGCCCAGACAGAATACAACTTGGGTGCTATGTGAGCTCCTCTGGGAAGCTCATTTCACATTCAGGGTATCACAACAGAAAAGGTGCTCATCTTAAGAGTCACCTCACTTCCTTTGGCAGCAGATCCTGGAGAACCACTGAGGAAGATCTTAGTGCCCAGGCAGGTATATACAAGAGATGATCCTTCAGATAACATTTAAAACCCTAAATGTCATGGGGTGTGGTTAACAGCAGTATTTTGTACTGGGCCTGGACATGGGCTGGTGGCCAGCATAGATGGTGAAGCACTGGCCTGAAAATGAAGATTGATCTGTACGACAAGCCATGCAACAGGTGAAGTACTGCAAGCCACTTTCTTTGACGATTTGCAGTGATGCAATCCAAAGCTGCCAGATTCATTTGGGTTGCCCTAAGTTGGAGACACCTTGATGCCACATAACAACAGACTCATACAGTAACTGTCTGCATCTGATCATTCAGTTTCAGGTGGTTGTTGGGGTGGATTTAAATCAAATCAATTTAAATCATGATTTAAGTCACCAGGCACTAAGTCTAGATTCAAATCATGACTTTCTGCATAATCTGCACACATGCCTGCCTTGCCTGTAGGTAGAGGAACTTCATTAAAATATTTCCAAACTGGGTCTCTTTTACAGCCTGCTGCCATTATAGGTTTTCTCCTCCAGGGAAAGAATAATATGATAAACCTCAGGCTATACACAAAAATTCCAATTGAGTAGTCGTCTGCTCAAAAGGGTTCACTTTCATTTTTATTGCTTGGCCCTCCCTCCTTGCACTTGACATCTTGTGCAAACCTGTTCCACTTTCAACAATCTTCTATTCATTGAATGTTTTGAAACTGTTGTTTTCAGCCCAGATCTCCCAGCTATTAAGAGAACTGTAAAACTTATTTTTGTCTTCCAGAGTATTAGCTAGCCCACCAGTTCTATGTCATCTGCAAGTCTGATAATTGTTCCCTATACTTCCTCATCCAGATCATTAATAAAAATGTTGAAGAGCACTCTAAGGACTGAACCCTGCAGTACCCCACTTGTTACCTCTCCTTAGTTTAAGATGCTATTGATTAGCACTTTTTGAGTCTGATTCTGTAGGCAACTGTGGATCCACCTGATCCATTTTTAGCTAGTTTACTTATCAAGATGTCTTGGGGCACAAACATGTTTTGTCCACAGCATTTCCAGAGTTCATCAGGGGTTACTCAATCAAAAGATTAAATCAAATTAGTCTGGTAGAATTTGCTCTTGAGGAATCCATGTTGGTTTCTTGTAATCACTGCACTGCTTTCAGTGTTTGCAGACTGACTACTTATTATAAACATTCTGCTCCAGAATGTTCCCAGGGACTGATTGGCCTATAGTTTCTAGGTTCTTCTTCTTTTCCTTTCTTGAAGATAGGGGCAACATTAGCCCTTCTCCAGTCATCTGGCACTTTCCCTATCCTCCATGATTTCTCAAAGATAATAGACAGCTTTTCTGAGAGTTCTTCCACCACCCTTGCATGGCTCTAGAATGGCGTTCATCAGGCCTTGGAGATTTGAACTCATTCAGCCCAAGCAGATGATCCTTGACCATATGCCTATCAATCCTGATCTGCCATCCTGCTCCTTCAGGTTTGTACCTCCCTTCCACCAGGAAGGTCACAAATCTTTTTTTGGGAAAGCACTGAAACAAAGCAGGAACCAAGTACATCTGCCTTTTCTCTGTCATTTGTTATCATTTTGCCATCCACATTGAATGGTTGAAACTTTCCTCTGTCTTTTACTTTGGACATATCTAAAGAAACCATTTTGCTGCTTTTAGCATCCCTCTGATGCCATCCCTGCAATTTTATGCTACCTGCCTGTATGCTACCTTTGTAGCCTGCTCTTCCTTCCACTTCCTAGAGATGTCCTTTTTGTTTTTAGGTCATCTCTAAGCTTTTTATGAAGCCACATGTGTTTCTTCTGTTGTCTTCTATCTTTCTCCTTGCTGGAATTGTTTGTAATAGAGTCTTTAGATTTCCTTTCTTTTAAATTCCCACCCATCTTTGAATCCTTTTCTCATTCGAGTCTCTTGCCATTTATTAAAATTGGTTTTCCTAAAATTTATTTATTTATTTAAAACTTTTCCATCCTGCCCTTCACAATGTCTCAGGCCAGTGATACAATAAAATACATAAGATACTGCAACTAAATTACAGTAAATAAAATCCAATTTTAAAACACTATTAACATTTAAACTAATGGGAAAATAAAAAGGGGTTGGCTGGCGCCAAATAAAAAAACGTCGGTGCCAGCTACACCTCTCTGAGGATCCTATTTCATAAACAGGGCACCACTGCAAAGAAGACCCTTCTCCCGGTAACCGCTCTTCTGATCTCCGTCGAAGAGCTCTCCCAAAGAAGAACCTCCAATTCAGAGCTTAGATCCAGGGCACATGTTTGGCTACATTTGGCTTTTGTTTCTTTTAGAATCAAGAGTTCAGTGTGGCATGGTCACTTTCCCCCAGAAATCTTGTAGCTGCCACTTTGTCCACTAGAATTTCAAAGCTGGTTAAGTATCAAATCAAGGATATCCATTCCTCTTTTTCTGATGGAGGATGTTAGGGATCTCTTGGAGGATCTGTGTTTGGCAGAATTTGTTTCCCTACAAATACTGGGGAAATTGAAGTCCCCCTTAACTAGAACATAATACCTCCTCGGAAATGTGCTTTTCAAAAGTTTCATCCTTGTCTTCTCCTTGACTGGGTGGTCAGTAATAAACTCCAAACACCAGTTTCCTTTTATTTCTTGCTGCATTTATATTAATCTAGATGCTTTCAATGGCACTACTAAGCTCATCCTCCTGTATTTTTCTGTGCAGAAAAAACTTTAACATACATTGAGATTCCACTTCACTTTTCTGTTCCTCCTGTTCTTCCAGAACAGGATACATCCTCCAGTTGTTGAATTCCAGTCATGAGAGTCATCCCATCAACTTTAAGTTACACCTATCAGGTCATATTCACTTTCCTGTATTAAGAGTTCAAGTTTATGCTGTTTGTTTCCCATTCTCTAGTCATTATTGTATAGACATTGAAGACATTGTGCTTTATAATCTAGTTTCTGTCCTACTTTTTTTTTTTTTTGAAAAACTCTTATTGGGCACTGTTAGGGCTCCTCTGTCATGGTGCATAAACCTTTGTTGTTACAGGTTTAACTGAATCCTGTAGGATTCAGTTTAAAGGCCTCCTGATAAACTTGTTCATGCTGTGACCAACCACATTGTTTCCAGTACTTGTAAAGTGTAAGCCATCCCTTGTCAGCAGTCCATCTTCCAAGATGTGCAGCCCATGGTCCCAGAATCTAAATCTCTCACATCAATAGCCAGGCATTCACTTGGAGTATTTTTCTTTACCTGTCAATTCCTCTTCCAAGAACTGGAAGCATTGAAGAGAAAACTATTTGGGTTGCTAATAATATTTGGGTCCCAAAGTTCTTGACTTTCCTCCCTAAGGCTTCAAAGTCTGATGTGATTCTTAAAGGCTCCACTTGGAAGTGTTGTTTGTTCCCACTTGTATAAAAAAGAAGGTGTGTGTGTCAGTGAGCAGTGTGAGCCTTGGCAATCTGTCAGTTATAGCACTAATCTGACCTCCAGGGAGATAGTATACCTGCTGAGTCCATGGTTCTTCTTGACATACATGTGTTTCCATCCATGCAACAAGGAGTCTCCCACAACTAATACTCTTCTTGTTCTTGCAAGCCTTGGAATCATTGTTACTACTTGGTTGACCTTTAGCCTCTTGTTCAGTATTGCATGGAATGAATTGCATGGCAGGATGCCCACCAGTCTCACTGTCACCCTTTTCCAGACTTTCCTCCTCCTTTTCCCTTCCCTCAGGATTCTCCTCTTCTGTGCCTCAGCCTGCTGTTGCAACTCTAGCTTCTGTACTACTCTTAGATGTTGCAGTTCCAGTGCTTTGCCTAAAAAATCTTCATCGTTTATATCTTGAGGGCAGACAATTGCTGCTCTACCACTCTTACTTTTTCTTGTAACAGGGCTGCTATCTTGCACTTGTTGCACATGTAGGCCATGTTGTTGCAGGTCACCACCACTGGGGACTCTTCTCAGTCCATTCTTTCTGCTGTCTTTTTGGTTCTACCTTGTTGGCCTGTTGTAACAACCAGTTCTTTCTCCTGTCTTCCCTGAAGGCTAACACAGTCCTACCAGTAAATGGGAATGTGCTAAAGGAAGAAAACGTGTGGAAAAAATAAGGGGGGAGGAGAGAAAAATTCAAGGACCTCCCCCCTCAATCTCCACCTCTAGCACTACACTTTGCTGCTGGCAAACTCTTGTTTGCTCTCCCTGTCTGCTTGCTCTCCGAAAGCTTGGCTGCTTGTATCCCAGAGTCCCTAGACCAGGAGTCAGGAATCAGAATGACATCTGATTTACTGATACCTTATCCAAAAAGGAAGCATATGCTTTAATTATTGTACTCCCTCAGCAAGAAAAGAAGTCATTATTCAGTGTTTACCTTGTGATGAACAAGACTCATTCAACTCTATGGGACTAAGTTATGATTAGGGTACTAAAGACCTGACAACCTCAAAATATTAATCCAAAATTGGTGCCACTCGATTTCTGAGTCCTGCTGAAAATCACCCAAGTATGCAGATTTGAAACGCTTCTTTAACCATAAAGAAGACACCGATAGTGAGGAGGAAAAACCATCCCGTCTGGGAAACATATAGCTCGGGTAGACAAAGCACACCAAGGAGAAACCGATCCGCACTAGCTATGCCACGTCTCTCACCTATAGCGGAGAGACCGACCTGAACCTATCACCATCCTTGTCTCCCTTCGGTTTCGTAGGGCACTGAAGGGGGAAAAAACCCAACTATCCGGCGACTGGGGGGTTCGGTTCCCGCCACCCAAACACACATTTGCCTAAGTCTCCCTTAATGTGCATAACTGCTACCGGCGCCCCGGCCCAATCCAGGCCGCGGCGAAGACCCCTCCTTACCACCCACTCCACAAGGCGGCGCCGTCGCTACCTGCTCGATGCAAAGCGCAGTCGGCGGGTGCTACGCACGAAAGGCCCCTGTTGCCGGAAGCGACAAGAACTAAACCCCTCTTTCCCCGCCCGCTGCCGCCGTCGCCGCCGTGGCCGCACTTCTTTCGCTCTTAAAGAGGCAGAAGTCCCTTCAAGCGCGATAAACCGATCAGCGTAGCCCCGCCTTTTAAAGAGGCAAGACACGATTCTTTTTGGAAACGTGGACTTCCACACGTAGGGCTTGTGACACCTTAAAGACTTAATGTATTTATTGTTGTTGAATAAGTTTATGCATCGCAAACACTTATGCAAAGGTCTAAGGTGGCACAAGACCTAGCGTTTCCTTCCTGCAACGAATTATACTTCTATGCACTCTGGCCGGGTAGTAAGCCCTATTTAACTGCAGCGGATTTTGGGCTGCACCGAGGCAAACCCTCCTCTAAAACTTGTGAGGCATTCAAACAGCAGAAAGAATGGTCTCTATTCCAAAGTGAAGCGCAGTACCTCCTTCGGAAGATATTCCTATAAAACGTTAGCCAATGAATGGGACGCAGATGCTTCTTGTATTCTTCCTTAGAGATAAAAAGATGCTCTTTTTCATAGATATAAAGCTAAGGAAAGTTGCTAATGGTCAGTGGAGAATGAGGAAGTGCCACGTTTTGTTTCCTCCCTGGCAGAATTCCCTTTCCTGTATCAAGTGTAGGCTAGGCAGAAATTCAGAAAACAGAGCTTGCACTATCTTGTAATCTCTATTACGGGTGGATTTTTATCTGTCCTTCTGCTTCTAAGGCACAGAAATCTTGTAGGGGTGTTGGGATGGGGGGTGAACGTGGAAAGACTTCCATGCCCTCTTGGGCGAGTCAGTTTTTCCAACATAGTCATTTTCCTATAGACGTCCCCAACCTGTCGCCCTCCAGAACTATTGCACTCCGCCCTCCATCATTCCTTGCACCAAGCTTGAACGGTCCGATGGGAGTTGTACATAAATACCATGCTGCCCTGGGAATGGGGTGGGGAAATGCGAGGGCGCCAAGTTGGGGAAGGCTGTTCCATTCCTATTTGTGAAATGGGAAGATTGACTGACTTCACGAGACTGTTGTAAGAACAAATACAATATTGTATAGGCAAAACAAACAAGAGATAAAACTCAAATGGGTTGGTTAGTGGTTGGAATTTTCCATTCAACGAGGGCACAAGTACCATTTTTATGGAAATCTTAAATTCTGCTTGTATGTTTTGTTGGTCAAAAGTACCCCCTATTCTTTGTTCGGATTACTTATTTATGCTATCTTTATTTTGAAATGAGAAGCTAGTACTGAATCTTCTAGCACTGATGATGGGGATCCCCAAATACGTTTCATCAAAGACAAATCCAAGATTAGTAAGAATGTACTAGATGTACGTATCACTGGTGAATTATGCTAATACATTCGGCGCTTTTACTATGATCTACTAATGATTTTTGTGCAAGAAGGTAGCGTAGTCCAACGGATTTATCATATCTATTCTTACACCGTGCCCTAAAAATAGTTCACTATATTGTGTTCTGTCTGATGTCTAAAAGCTATGTCATACCCTGAAAAGTGGAAAGGTTGTTGTAAGCTTAGTGACGCAAACAGAACATGTCTGGGTTATTTGCCTTTTTTCACTGTTCCAACGCACCGCTTTTCTGTCACAAAGTGATTGATTAGTGGATTAACCCGAGAGAGCTATTAGGCATCTCATGAAAAGCAGGGCAGAAATAGCATTTCGTTCCCCACAAAAAAAAGCCGGGGGGGGGGGTTAGGGTTAGGGTTAGGGCAGTTTCCTTTTCACTTTTTCCCGGAACTCTTCCACAGAAAGTAAACCTCCATTTCTCAAAAGAACCTTGGAAACGCCAGCGGTAGCAATAGGCGCATTTAAGAAACGTCACAGAAGCTATTACCTACTATTGGCAACGGGGCAGGGCTTGCTGGGATAGCATCCGGGAACTAGTCCGGGTCTCATCCCGCCTGCAGCATGGGAGAACGTGCGATGTTTCATTCAACGCGGGAACGGCTAAATGTACGTTTGATTCGGCGCTCGCGGGATATGTTAAACGTGTGTAGTCTGAACAAGGATACGCACCAGTTAAGCATCTGCACACGAGCGTCGGTTTGGGGATTAGGGATGTAATGGGAGTATTGCCAATTTATGTAACCGACTGTTTACATTCCTCACTTCTAGATGTACTCTCGTTTTTGCTGTGGTTTGATCCCATTTATCTCCTTCGCAATTTTCTGGCAGAGAAGTTAAGAGTACCGAAATCTGCCCTCTTTCTGTTAAATTTTAATCCGCCCTTTTGGCGGGTACAGAAGAGAGTTATAGGCAAGTATGTTACATTGGGGCAGTTTTTCATGAGATACTCGTTCACTACATCTGCTATCACGAGATCTCTAGTACAGGGTTGTCAGGTGTTCTCATCTAGGAGCCTTCTGCTTTTAAAGAAAATGCTGTCCCTTTTAATGATAAATTGAAGTTTTGAAACTTCTGCAGCATATCAGCATTTCTGATTATTAAAAGTCACTGACCAAAATTTCTTAAATTTTTCCTTCTCACAGACAGAATTGCATTTCTAGGATCCTGAGTAATTAGTTAAACTGGTGATTTATCTACACCCTCATTTATGGAGACCAATGCTTTAATACACTTTGTTTTGTTTCTAGATCTTAGGATGGAGAGCTGCTGCAAGTATTGCTTGGTCTGTGCTGTTGCTTCCTCTCTGTGTTGCCATCTTCATCAGCATTAGTAGTATTGACTTTTTCCACCCTGTACAGTGGATCACAAGTATGTATGCTGCATAGTAGGAGACATAAGTGCTGTAGAATAATACTGCTGTTGACGATTTATGTGTCAGTTGTGCAAGTATTTTACATACATTATCATGGTAAACCTTGCAACTGATCTGTGAAGTATTCTCACATTGTATATGGAAGGATGAGGTTGAGAAAGAGCAGCTTTACTGAAACCACTAAATGGCCACCTTTGCATTGTCGTCGTAAGCTACATAGTAAGCATAGTAAGTTAATGTGGTTTGTGTAAGCTGGAATGAGCCTGAGCATGATGAGTGCTACTGCTGAACCAGCAGAATTTTGGCAGCATTTAGTTTTGTTTTCCCTGGCTCTTGACATGTTGTGTCAACCAGATTAGGATTCATGGTTTATCATAAATTCTGGTCAGTTTCAAAACAATCCAGTTTCAGGCCATGGGTTGTGAAACTGGCTTTTCAAGCTTACTAGATTTTTTGAGTTGGATGATAGACAAGCTGAGACTTGGGAAAGCAAAGTTAAATGCTGCCAGAGTTCTTCTGGCTGTGCATTTTAGTGTGACATGCAAATGCTGCTGATGGGTTCATGACTGAAGTGTGAGTTATACCAGAGACTTTCTGGATTGCAACTCAGCTCTATAGACACTAAATGGTTATACTAGTGCATCTGAAATATAGTTCTTCCTGAAAAGTAATTCACATTTTCTCTTTTAGGTTCATTCAATGATTTGTATACCTCCTATGTTATCTTTTGCATACTACTGATGTCTGTGGTGATACTGGTAATAAATATATTCAATGTTGAGTTTCATGCAGGTGGGTATCAATAATAATCAAGAGCTGTATGGAATAATACAATTATTGTTTTTTATTAAGAGCCAGTATGGTGCAGTGGTAAAGAGTGTGGGACTGGGACTCAAGCAATCTGGGTTCTAGACCCCACTCAGCTGTGGAACAAACTGGATGACTTTTGGCCAGATGCAGACTCTCAGCCCAACCTACTTCACAAGGTTGTTGTTGTGGGGATAAGAGTGAGAGGAGGAAGAGGAGAATGATGTAACTGCTTTGCATTCTTTTAAAAAAAGAAAAAAATTAAGGATATGAATCTAATAAAAAGAATCAAAATAAGCTGTAGACATTACTGCTTTGTGTTCAATTGTGTTCATAATTTAAGACTTTAAGGTATGTTTGAGTTCACTATGTTAAGTAGACATTCAACTTTTCTGTGGTGTTTTTAAAATCTTTATCGATAAACAGTAACTCAGAAATCAAGTATGCAGAATATATTCAATCCAAGTTCAATTTGAAAAGTTGGGTGGGGTATCTCAGTGGTTGATGGGGCCAAATGCCAAAAGGATGGTGCTTAAGAGCAAATATTCAGGCATAGTTTAACTTAACGCTCATACTGCCGATACCTAAGCCTTAGGAAAGGCATTTTAACATGGGGAAAACATGCAAAAACTGGAAAATTGCTTAATGATTGTTGATCAGGAGAAAGGTGGTGGCCATCTGGGAAACCATGAAGGACCAGGTTCTGCATCCCTTAAATCTTGAAGGACTTCTCTGACAGTATCAGATGTGGACCTCCTCTGCTGCTGATATAGTCAGGATCGTTGAAAGAGTACCCCATCATAACTTGAACTCCAAAGACTTAAATGTAGAGCAGTGATTGTTGGAATGCGGTTTCTTGAGATGTGATAACAAATGTAGAGCATTTACATGACTTGCTTGAGGATAGGTGATAAATGTTCTTTTTTGCACTTTGCAGTTGTGCCTTCTATTCCATGTTCTCGATTGGCACTGATAAGCAAGATTATCCATCCACAGCAAGTAATCCATTCAGTGGTTCATGCAGTAATGGGAATGTTGGTGGCCTGGTGTGCTGCAGTTATGACAAAGGGGAAGTTCTTACTTTTATCTGTACCCTGCACAGCTACAGAAAGGTGACTTGGCTGATAATAGAGTTCTTACGACAGAATGTCTTGTGAAAATGAATGTAAAAATGCTGACAAATGCTTCATAATAGGTGATTTTTTTTCACATGCTGCAAGTGCAGAAAGTAGACAACTGATAAAGGACTTGTACAAATCTTTTTTTTTTACTTTGGAAATTAGAACGTTTTGTATGTACAACATTTTTGGTTGCTATTGATAAAAGCCTTTAATCTGGGCTTGCACCTAATTGGTGAACAATATGCCTTTTCCGCACTTTTAAAGATGTATATCATGATTAGTGGGGGAGATACTGTTTTCATACTCACTGTGACCTTGTTGACATTCACAAAGATCTATGAGACAGTGCTCAAGACACCTCTGTTCTAGGAGAGAAGGTACTGTGTAAACACTCCTATAAAACTTTAAGAAGTGCTGTCCTGTCCTGCTAGCTGAGAATGTTCTTATTTGAGGTACAGGAGTTCTCTTCCTTTAGCAATAAACATACTTTCCTTTATCCTCCAGTTGTGTTGTATGATTATTATATCAATACTGAAAGATAAAGCTTAGGTGGAAGAAGCTGCTTCTGTTGTTCCAGAATAAAGGTTTGGTCAAAACTGTTGTATAACTAAGCTGCTAGTTTCTGTAATAAAAACTAAGTGTGCTCATTGTTAAAAGGGATCAAATTTTCATTTCTAGTTAAAATGTGTAACCATTTGGGCAAGAATGGCTTTCCCCTCTTTTAAAAGACATTTCTACTAGAACTTAGTAGGAAGTTGCTGTGCATATTTGCTCATGATACTAAAATTAAAATTCCTGTTTTGCATAGTGCAGCTGAAGCTGATCCTCACAAGTGCCTGAATGAGTATCACCTCTTTCTCTTGCTTCTTGGAGCTTTCATGGGTTACAGCTATAGCCTCCGGTATCTTATCAACAATTTGAACTACCTTCCATTCCCAATCATACAAGTAAGTGCATAAGAAACAGTGGCAATATTGAGCCAGGTGTGTTATTCTTTTTCTTCTGCACATTCTTGACTACCTATGATAGCTTTGTGGGAAAGTTCATGATGCTCATTGAGTTCAGGAGGGATGTTCCATAAGATGTGGCAGCAACATAGTGGGTTGGGTCCTGAGAACCACAAATGAAAGGAAGGAAGCTTATAGAAGGGGACTTTACTGTCACCTCCTAAAGCTGTTTGTGCACCACATCTCCCATACCACATCTGAGTGGGCCCATGTGACGTGACAAGCAGTACCTGCAGTTTCCATGATGCACAGTTTTTTACATGGCTGTGCCTCAAAAGTGATCAGGCTCAGCAGAGTAACTCTCCTCTGCCAGGTGGTTTTCCCAGAAAGTCCTGCCGGGAGGAATGGGGCTCCTCGCTTTGCAACTGCACTCATGAGCTGAGTTTGTCTATCAGGCAGTCTCCCCTGCACAAACAGGGCTCATGCCCTGAAGCACGGCAGAGAAGCTGAGGGAGCTGGTCAGGCAGTCTCCCCTCAGTGTTATTTGTCAAACAGCAAAGGGCCCATCTTGTGAGCTGTCAGTCCTGCAAACTCACAGGCACTATTATTCAAGGAACTGCATAATACAAAAAACTAAACTAAAAAGATGTGTCGTCACATGCTTTCTTAGACTCAAAAGAGGAGACTTAGGTGGCAGGTCTGCTTTAAAATATAACAACTGTTTCAAATCAAACACATTATGTGAATAAGTTTTTGAAACTTCCCTTCTCAAATGCATGTACATTTTTCAGCAATACAAGTATCTACGCTTCAGAAGATCTCTTCCACTGCTGGCAAAGCATAGCTGTGTGGAGTCACTTTATACAGTTAGGAACTTCTGTGCAGTCTACTACTTCTTTGGTAAGATTTATTCCTTCCCCTCCCAATTCTGTAAACAATACAAATGAGGCACTTGGGGTTGATTCTAAAGCAGTATAACTCCAAATACTAGGTGCTGGGTTTGGTGACGGTATGGTGTAGCAGAACCATGTCCCTACTTGCGATTTTTCCAGAGGCAGCTGGATGGCTAGTATAAAAAAAATGCTGGGCTAGAGGGACACAATAAGTCAGTTGGGTCTGGTGAAGTTCTGCCATGTGGGGCAACTAGCTTCAGTAGCATTCAGCCCAATGATGAATCCCTTTATCATGACTCCATGACAGAAAGGAAGAGTAGGCTAGTGGGGCACATCACAGCATCCTTCCTTGTGGGATGCATTTGGTTGTAGCAACTGGTTCATGATGCCAAGTAAGTCAAATGGTTGAACCCATGTTTGGCATGTGTAAGGTCTCAGGTTTAACCCTTGGTGTCTCTAGGTAGGGCTGAGAAAACTCCTGCCTGAAATCCCAGAGAGCTACTGCCAGTCAGTGCTGACAATACCAGGCTAGATGGATCAAGGATCTGACAGTATAAGGCAACTGTCTCTGTTCCTAAGCTTTTAGGACCTGCTGCCTCTCTTCCCCCATGCATTGCTTTCCCATGACTTCCTATAGCAACTCCAGGAGATCTTCCCATAGGAAATCCCTCATCTCTGCTGCTCCAGCAAAAAAGTTTCCTTCCCCTCTCCCCAAATATCTACAGCTGCAAACTACTACTGCAAAGGGGGTAGGATAACATCACCCATGCATATATATGTAGTCTTTGCTGTCACGGTAAACCAATTGTCATGTCAGTATCAATCCATGTTGAGAGAGAAGAGAAATGAAAAGGGGAATGATTTGTTTCTTATGGAACACTAAGAAATAGTGCTGCATAGACTCCTGATCTAAAGAAGGCTTCCAAAAACCTGAATAATTTTAAGGTTTCATCTATTACTGAACATTTGTGCAAAAAGTAGAATTTTTTTAAAGACGCTGGCACTTTTGGATGCTTATAACATTGAAAACAACTATAGGTTTTTTTGTTTGAGAGTGAGTGAGTGTATGTATAGTCTTTTTTTTTTTAAACGTAGCCACTGAATACTTCAGAGTGAGGTGTGGGATTGCAAACAGCACATCACTTGCCAGCACTTGGCTTGGAAGAGAAGAACGTGATTGGACATGAGAGAGTCACATTAAGTTTGCAGAATAAGTGGCTGCATAGAAGGAAAGAGGGTAACTCTACGGTATTGGGATTTGTGTCCATATAGGTATATAACTACAAGGAGCTTTATGGGCACCTTGTAATGTAGGATAGGAGAGTAGAGCATATGATGTGGAAGATATCTGGGAAGTGTCAATTGATTGCAAGAGGATGACCATTGAATAAATGGAGAAGGGACTTTTTAATAGGGAAAGGCTCTGTGAAACTGAAAAAATCAATGAACAAAACTATGCAGGCTGATTACATGTACAGAATTACATGTGACAGTAAAACCATTTTTAAAGGAGACAAGAATACATGGTGGGATGTATTTTCAAATTTGTATGTTGCTTAGTAGTCCAACAGGACTCTCTAAGCTGCTAAGAATAGCGATACAGCTCACACTACATCTGCAAATGAACACATATATACTATTTCACATGACACATGCACTTGGTAGAGGCATCCCATACCTATGTTTTAATGTGTGTACAATCCTACTCTGTCATTTTGTGGGATGTGATGGCCTCTGACTACTTAACCTTTTTGCTAGCTGGCACAAGCATCACATTTAAAACTGCTGCATTTTTTTTTCTTTTAAAAAACAAACTTATCAAACTTCTTAGAGAAAGTATATTATTAAGTATATTCTTGTGATACGGAATCTTGTGTTCTTACAGCTTCATTTTTCTGTTTGTTGCATCTTAGGTTATATTCCAAGGGCATGGATAGTTACTACAATGAACCTTGACATTGATAGGTTAGTACATTATTCCATCAGTAAGATATGTTTGGGTATAGGAGGCATTTCCAGTAAATCTTAGAGGTTGGGATGGAACCCAGCTATAGCAGTGAGCTCTCAGGTATGCTGGACTAAAGAAATGAGCTGCTGACACATTAAAACCAACAATTTTCATTGAGCCTCAAGGTGCAATAGACAGGTAGTGAGGATGATAGTGTTGGTATACCACATCATTAATTATCTAAGGACATATTTTAAACAGTGTAAAATGTTGCACCTTGCCCTTTCACTGAAATTTCTGGACTTGTTATCAAGTACCTTCTGACAAAATGTTATGAAAAAAACTCGTTCTACTACAGCCTAGGCCTAATGGTGATCATCCCCTTACTGATGGCCAAGTCAAAGTCACAATTGCAATCCCAAAAACCAGACTGCTGGTGATCTAGTATCCATGCAAGAATAATAACCCCATGGAATAGGAAGAGTAAAGGAAGAGTAGGCCAAACATTAAAACATTCCATCTGAAGTTCTTCCTATTTGTGAGATTGAAAGGTAGAATAACTTGTAGCTGCTTGGGAGGTGATAGTTCCCTTAGGTAATTGGAAGGAGCAAGATCAAACTCCTCAGGCCTGCACGGCGGTTTGGACATTAGGACTGCTGGTTGTGAAGGAGCTGGCTCTCAACAACTCTCCTGCTATGCAAAAAAGAACTGAGAGATGTGCCATCCCTCATTTGTATAGTATGACATGAGAGTTCAGGATTATGAGTTGTTCAGGAAGGAACAACCCAGACCATGGTGTGGTCCTGCTTCTTCTGAGTTACCACATTGTGTTGTCAAACACACTATAAAAGCTTTAAAACCAGTCCTATTAAAACTCTTCTCACTTATCTAGTATATGCTACTAATGTATTCCCTTCATGGGGCAAGGAATAACAGCAATCCTTTTGATATGGATCAATACAGTTATTGTTTATACTGTTCATGCCAGGCAAAAATAAATGTGTATCAAGCAATATGCAGCAGAAAACACTTGCCTTTGATTGTTGTTTTTCTCATTTCTTTGTCTTCTAGTACACTCCCTCTTCTAGACACAGTGGCTGGCCTCTTGGATTTGTCTCTTTTGTACCACAGCTGGTTATGTGGTCTGTTTCTTCTGATGACTTGGTACATTGCATGGCTACTCTTCAGAATTTTTTCTACTGAGGTTTGTATCATAGGCTTTGTGCCAGCTTTTCTCAGCTTGGTGCACTCAAGATGAGTCATACTACAATTACCATCATCCCCGGAGTTCTAGTCCACCACATCTGGAGGGCATCAGGTTGGAGAAGGCTGCCTGACACCATAAAACTGCTCTTTTTCTGCTGACAACGTCTTTATTTAGAAAAAATTTGGGGAAGGACCTTATACTACTATATTAGGGTACAGCAGACATGGTTGCACTAAGAGTTTGTTTGTCTTTAGATGGTGGTTTCTACATTCCCTTCCTTTACTTTCTGAGTTTCTTGCTGGTCTGTTGGGATTGCAAATGAAGCTAACCTGATTATACTTTTAGTAAGAACAGAAGAGCCATGCAGGGATCCATCTAGTAGCATTGAAGAGAGGTGGTTTGCCTGCTTGCTGCAGCTACGACATGTTCTCCATTTTCAGGCTCATCACTTTCCTGTCCAACCAACTTTTGCAGAAGAAGTTGACCAGTGTTTGCCCAAAATCCTAAGCAGCAACCCTCCACCTCTTTTAAAGGTATGGGTTCAATTGGATGTAAAGGATGTCAGTCAACGGGACTTTTGCATCATTTTTGTCATACTAGAAACAATACTAGAAAAGCTGTGGTGATATTAAGACCTTACAGATTAAAACAATAATATGGCAATACAATTCATGCTAATGGCTTGTAGCCAAGTATTTGGCTGGTGTTTCACATCAGCAATGAAACACCTTTCCTCGTCTCTGTTGTGCTTTGCCATGTGTTTGCCTCCTGTTGTCCTTTCTCCTAGTTTTCGTTACCCTCCCACAGTCTTCCTTCTGGTCCTGTTTTCTCATTCTTCTTGATGACTTTTCTATTTAATTTCTTATCAAAGCAACTTGTCAAATAGCAACCGGGAATCTTACTCTTCTCCACCTCTTTTTAAAGGAACCCAACCTGGTGCTGCCAAAAGCTTCACTATCATAAAATATATTAACATTTATCTAGATGTATTTAAAATGATACCTTGTACATTTGCTTGAACACCTAAAATAACAACACCTAAAATAACACTGTAGTGGAGTTAGGTATTCTTTCAACAAACTGAGGCTGAGTAACTCTGAAAATGAAAGATTTACAATGCCCTTACATGGGCAAGTACAGAGACTATGTAGCTTGCCTTCAAAGCTACTAGTCAGAACTGTGGTTTTCACAACAGAAAACTCAAGTCTAGAAAGTGTGGTTCTCAAGTAGAGAACTGAAAAAAGAGAACTAGAAATTAAAATTTACTTTGAAAAAATCTTAGTGATGTTAAGTACCCTGAAATTTCAAAAAGAGCCAAGTTCTCTTGTCTAGCAACTTTAAAATGCAGACTATAAGCATGGCCAACTTGGAACTTGTTAATATTCTAAAAATTTCTTTTTGCAGTTCTTGGCTTTACAGGACCTGATGTTTCTTTCCCAGTATTCTTTTGTGCGACGTCAAGAGGTCTTCAGCCTCAGCCAACCAGGTATTTGGAAATGGTAACCTTATGAATTAAAGCCCTTCAAAATGTCCTATCCATGACAGCCCTGCTCAGCTCTTGTAAATGCAAGGCTGCAATGACCTTTATGCAGTCAATCAATTTCATATTTAGTCTTTCTAATATTCTTCTGCTTTCGACTAGCATGATTGTCTTCTCTACGGAGTCTTGCTTTCTCATGATGTACCCAAAGTATCACAGCATCAGGTTTGCATTTTTGCTCTAGGGAAAGCTCTGGCTTGACTTGATGTAGCACCCACTGATTTGTCTTTTATTTGGAAACAGGGAGATAACAGGAAGTATGCTGGAACTTGGTTCACACATAGAGACAACCCAAAGTACAGATTAAGTATGGATTCTTGTTGAATCATGGGTTCTCATTATGTTTAAACCCTTCCCTAAGGGTTAACTTTAGGTTCTTAACCATTAACAGCCCAGCATTCACAACCTAACAGCAAGCCATGGGTAGTGGTAGTGCCGTTTATTGTTTTTCTTTCCATAGCAATAGCTGAAACTCTGGCTGAAACTATAACAACTCAAAATAAAATAATAAAATACAACATTTAAAATATAAATTTAATGACTTAAATTATTTAAATTGAAAGAAGATCTGTGAACATGCAACATATTGCTACAATGTATTATTTAGAGTTGTTAAATTGCATGGCATAGAGGGCAGTCTTTAAGGATAGTAGGAGTAGGGTTGGCTTCAGTGGGGAGGCTGTTGCTTAATTTGGGGTCACCACTGAAAAGACCCTACTCCTTTCACCAAACCTCCCTGGGAAGGTGGTACTTGGATAAAGGCACCAGATGTTGTTCATTGTTAACAAACAATAGAAAAAACCATAGTGCCAGGTTTGCAAGTAACAACAACCCATGATTCAACAACAGTCCATACTTGGAGTTGTCATTGGGTGTGGCTTAGTCCTATGAAGAGTTGAAGAGCTTATCTGAGAGCAGTTATGTTTGCTTTTGGTAGTTTTTTGTGTTTAACAAATGCTAATGTAGAATAGTGTAGGGTTATATTTTTGCAGGGGATACTTTATGACCAAAGAGAAAACCACCACTGTTGTGTTCAAAGGTTGGTATGAGGAGGTATGAAATAGATCATGCACATCAAATGCTTATTCATCTATGCATTGCGAAAGCAAACGTTCTTTAATATGTTGGAAATATTTATTTATTTATTTATTTATTTATGGATTTATATCCTGCCTTTTTCCTACAAAGGGCTCAAAGCAGTTTACATCATTCTCCATCCCATCCCCACAACAACAACCCTGTGAGGTAGGTTGGGCTGAGAGTCTGTGACCCAGCCCAAAGTGACCCAGTTGGCTCCATGGCTGAGCGGGGTCTAGAACCCAGATTGCCTGAGTCCCAGTCCCATGCTCTTAACCACTACACCATACTGGCTCTCCTAAGTAGATATATTACTTAAACTTCTCATATGTCATGCTTGTGGGCTAGTTCCTGCTTGCTTGGTTGCTGCACATCTAGCCTAAGCACTGGGCCACCACAGTAGTCTAATTGAAGGTTCATGTTGTTTGTTTGGAGCTGAATGCTGTACTTCACACTGTGCTCCATTACATGTCAGCCTGATTTATTTGATACATGTATATCCTACCTTTTTCCATCTTGTGAGGACCCCAAGGCAGCTTACATCATCTTTTCCATTTGATCCATACAACAAGTCTATGAAGTAGGGTTGGCTACAAGTCTGTGACTGGCCCACAGTCAAGTAGTGCACTTCGCGGACAAGTGGGAACTAGGGGCTGAGTCTCCAAGTCCCAGTCCACTATTCTGACCACCATGCCATGCTGGCTTTCCTGATTGTGCAAATTAGGGTTGAAAAGTCTTTCTATTCCCTTGACTACGTAAAAAAGAAATTACTATTTCTCAATAAGATCTCTTATACAAAGCAGTATTCTGTGCTTTGTGAAATAGCAAGGTTTCTAAAATGATCCATTGTTTATTTTTATATACATTCTGCTTGTCTCTCAAGGTGGACATCCTCACAACTGGACTTCAATTTCCAGGGAGTGCTTGAATCTTCTAAGTGATCTGACACAGAAGCTGATAATTCACCAAGAGGCTGCAGCTGCAAATGGGAGACTGAAACAGTCATCCATGGGAGACCTGAGTCAATCCTTCAGCCCTCCAGGTAATGCACAAATTAGTTGCAATGCAGTTTGAGCATCTAAACCACAGACTGTCAAAGGGGGAGGCAGGAATCGCATTCCAAAAATGATGGAACAGCATGGCAATAACACTGCATTTGTAAAACAATGCAAAAAGTGCAATACTGTAATCTCATTTCATTGGCATCTAGTATCTGTGCCTAAATAAAAAACAATATTCTAATGAACATTTGTAAGACCTGCTTGAGACTTCATGTGGGAACAGTGTCTTCCCATACTGGTGATTTTCCATGATGAGCACTTTCATCAAATAGCCACATACTGTTCAGTGTACTACTGATGGGAAGGCACTGCAGATATTCCATATTTTCAACCTTAACAAAATATCTGTGGCAAGAAAAGGCAGAAGACATGGGAAGGTTACAAGCTGGAAGAGGTCAGCATTTGGACCCCCACTAAAATTCCTTAAATGAGTAGGGTGGTGATAGTGCCGTAAAAGCCTCATCTGGAAACAGCTTAAAGCCAATAACAGCTGGATTAAATTGCCAAAAGACTTGCATCACTATGAAATACCACTTAACTGTATTTTTCGTTCTATAAGACGTGCCTGACCATAAGACGCACCTAGTTTTTAGAGGAGAAAAACAAGAAAAAAAATATTCTGAATCAAATGGGCACATAATCACAGGCACATTCCCCATCACTTCCCCATGGGCTGCACATCTGACAGACTTACTGCAAACACATATTCGCTCTATAAGATGCACAGACATTTCTCCTTACTTTTGAGGGGGGAAAAGTGTGTCTTATACAGCAAAAAATACGGTATATGTTGGTACAAGCCCTCCTGAGTTTGTCTTTTAAAAATGCATATTCTTTCTAGGAGAAGCTGTGGACGAGAGCTCATTTCAGACACCAAGGTCCAACATCCTTCCTCGAGCCCAGATGCCTTCTCTGGTTAAACCATCTGTGTTTTCTTTAAAAACATCACCTTCATCTGAACTGGGAAGCATTTTAGGGTCACCTTTCAGTCCTCCTCCTCTACATCGCAAGCCTGGAATGTTGGATCTAAATTCACCTTGGCAAGGATCTACCCAGAGTCCCAATATTATGAGAAGAGGGACAAAACTCTGGACATCAAGTTCAGGTAGGAGAAGTCATTCCATCCTAACCTTGGTTTAAATTATATGTAGCTCACTTGGCTTCCTATCAGGTGCTTGACTTTTAAAATATCTCCTGTAGATTTGCAGTGGACAGGCTCTCCTCATGAATCCCGCCCAGTGGCTGCTGTTGCAAAAAGTGCCAGTGAAGCAGTGCAACCAGGTTTCGTCTATCTATGGCTGCAGAGCAAGAAAGAACAGGTATTACCAGAAATCAAACAATTAATAGGCCAATTCATCTATAGAGCATGTCTTCTTATTTTATTTCATTTATTACATTACATTTATTACGTTACTGCCCCAAGCTTAAAAACATTATATACATTATACTTAGTTTGACAGTATGTTCGTACTACACATCCCATCTTAAATTTGCAGTTTAATCATTTTATGTTTAGAGTGTTGATCAATGAAGCTTATACATGCTTTGTTACAACTTTGAATTGGAAAAATATCTTTTCTGGTTTTGCATCATATGTTCTTTGGCTCTTGATAGTTTTCTTCTTTTTCCAGATCAAAAGTTTCTTATCAAAACGAGTACTGATTATGTACTTTTTCAGTAAGGTAAGGATAAATGCATGACTCAGTGCTTGAGGTTGTCTGGGCATCAGAGAGTTCTAGTTAGTGCCGCAAAATATTGCAGGTGGTACCTGTGTTTGTCACAGCCATTATACTAGAACTTGGTACATTGGTAATTCAGATAGGTGCTGTGTGGAGTGAAGTTTAATTTAAAAATGCTGACCTAGATATTTTCACTGCTTTGTTTATCAATAATTACATTCCTTTAGTTCAGGGAACAAATCTGCCCCTTGACAGTTACCCAGATTGTCATGTCCCCTTTCCTTTGTTTGTTGGTTTCCTGATTTTTGTGTGGTTGCTTCGGAGAGTCTAAAAGGGTGAAATGCCTTTCCCAAGCCTTAGTCCAAAGGTGATCAGAGTTTTAAGGGAAAACATGGTGGTATTTTTGGCCCCATTGCTTTTGTCTTTGGTCCTACCCACTGCTGCACTGTGGCCTGTAAGAGCTTCTTAAAAATGGATTTTTTTTCCTTAAGCTGAAAGAGGTTCAACTTCCAAGGTCAAAACACCTGGTTTAATTAATTTGATTAACCATGTAATATGAATTGCATACTTTCAGTACTTAATCCTAAAAAAGATGGAAAATGTTATAGAATTGGCTTTTCATGCAGAGCTCTTGATGTCTCATTAAATTTTGTTCAATTACTCAGTTATGTTAGTGTTGGAAACATCTCCTTATCAGGTTGTCTGACTTGGAAACCCTTTCTCTTTCTCAGCACCCTGAAGCCTCAATCCAGGCTCTCTTTTCTGGTACCCAAATGCACATTTGGGCTTTGGAAGGTAAGTAGTTTCTTCATATCTGTAATGGTCCACCTGTGAATGATATTCATTGGCTTATTTCTACTACTTTCTTTGATTTAAGTGGGGACTTGACAGTAAGATTCATAGGTGGGGAGGTGAAAATAAGGAAGTCCCACTGCACCCATGAATGTCCTGTTGAATGAGTAAATCCAACTCTGCCATGGAGAACAATCTAGGTCTGTATGTTGACATAGCATAAAATATCTAGGGTTTTCCTTCTTAGTTATTGGCCTCCGAGCCTACTTTCCAGGTGGTTTGGGTGGGGGTACAGTGGGAACCAAAACTAAAAACTATCCTTTTCTGCAGGCTTATCACACCTTGTAGCAGCCTCATTTACTGAAGATAGATATGGAGTTGTCCAAACAACGTTGCCATCTATATTGAATACTTTGCTAACTCTTCAGGAGGTGGGGAGTCCTACTTTCTTCCATCAAAAATGATAAGAATTCGTAATTTGCTTAAGGGATTAGAACAAATTGCCTTTGATTTCTGTGATTTTTTTTTTCAAAAGCTGCTCAAAGTTAACCACAGAAAAAAAGATCTAGTAGTCCAAAGATGGTGCTGGTATTCCTGTAATTCTGTATTACAAACTCTACTGCATTTAACGCATGCATGAAGTTATTCTTCACACAGCATTCTAGAGACTCATAGATGAAATGACTCATATGAGATGTCCTCTCCAGGTATTTTTATAGCTTAATGCCCAAATTAACTGTGCTTCTAAGGTTCATGCAGTTTATCCATAAGATACTAGCATTCCCGTTATCTAGGGATTGCCAAAATTGATCTACATTGGAGAAGCCAAGGGACTTGAGCTCCAAACAAAAATATTTAGTTCTTTGTTTAAGCAAATGCTGAGAATATTAATAAAAATACATTGTGCAAAAATGATTTTCACAAGGGCATAATCTAGTTTTGTCTTATTAGAACCTTGATTTTCACAGAAGTTTCATCTCTTACATGTTTCAATGAAAATGCTGATTTATCTGTAATTCAAACCTCTTTTGTTACTAGCATATTTTATAGTTGGATCATTTTCCATCCTAGGTGGTAGACAAACACTTTAAGCTTCCTCATGTTTCCAGCAAACCTCCCAGGATTTCAGGGAATCTGGCAGACACTTCATACAAAACTCTTCGGTTTGCTTTACGAGCTTCACTGAAAACTGCAATCTATCGGATAACCACGACTTTTGGAGAACACTTAAAGTGAGGTTTGAGACATAAATACATGTTGAATATTAATTTCTTAATATTTAAGATCCAATATAGATGGCAGAGAGTACATAGCAGGTTTTTATGTAGATCTTCTCACCAATTAATCACAATAACAAGAAGGCCTAACAGGAAGCATGGTCCAATTGTGGAGCTGTGTTGTGAAAGTAAACAATACTCTGCTCAAAATTTTACAAATGTCATGCAATGCTTTGTGTAGTTTGGTGTAACTGTGCTTCTGATTGTGCACCAGAAGATTAGGAACCATGGGGAACCAACTTTAAAGTTTATTCCATGAAGGTATTTTACCCAGTCATAACCTTGAACCATGCAGTTGAGTTCTATTTCCTTGGATTTCCAAGTAGCTACAGATGATGGGTCTAACTGCATGACTGGAAGTTCCATAAATTAAGGATTCCTCCATAAAGTATATTGAATTCATCATAACAATAGAGTTTTCTGTCCATGTTGGAGCTTTTCAGCAATGACCAGCCTTAGGCCTCCTAGGTAACCTTTAACTCGATCTGAGTTCCTCATCTGATAAGCAGGTAGACGCTGTTAAAGAAGCAGTTGCCCTCACATTAGAGCTGTTGCTGGTTTGTAAATCATTTTGTAAGTTAACCAATACCAGCTAAAATGAATCTTAAAGTAACCTATTTTGTGGAATTGGCTGGGTTGGAGGAAAAACCATGATTTCCATCTTGAAAGGGAATGAATACAGCTAGCCCTGACCACAGACTTTTCTCTAACTTCCTCCTAAGCTCCTCAAGGCTTATGTTCCATTTTAAACTGTTATGTTGGTTTTTTAGCTTGCAACATAAAGAGCAATACCTTGTATTTAAGCAAGCAAATATTAAAGCAAGAACTCTTGTACTGCGAATCGCTATGGACATGCAAAAAAGCCTATTTAAAATAAGAATGGGTTAATGAGTAATGTTGAAGATTGCTAGGATTCTCTGAACATCATTTAACTGTTTGGGTTTGTAGTCACTGCTTGCTCTATGTGAAAGGAAAAATGTAGAAATTATTGAATAGGGTTGTAGGGTTGTTCACATGTTAAAAGATAAATATGTGATTCCCCCACACCAGCTCTATTTAAAAGTCCCCAAACATCCTGCCTCTTATTCCATTTTTTATTTTTATACACTGAATACAAAGGACTGAAAGACCTTATGCCACTCGTTTTGAACCCCCAAAGGCTGAATTCCATTTTGGAGAATTTCTTGAGGGAGACATGTTTCAGTAAGGCAGAGGGTGTGGGCCCAAATACAAGCACATTTAAACTAAACTATGTACTGCCAGTAACTAAGCCATAAGAGTCATTTCAACCTTTTTGGATGAAGAAGAAATGTGCTAGTGTGAGAAAGCCACTGAACATTCAGTGGATAAGAGAAAGGGGTTGGGGTTAAGGAGAGGATGGAGATCCTAGTTGGGCATGTTTAGCCTTGAGAAAAAAAAAGACTGAGGGGGGATATGATATCGCTCTACAAGTACCTCAAAGGCTGTCACAAAGAGGAAGGTCAAGATCTCTTTTTACTGATGCCAGAGTGTAGGACACGGAATAATCAATTCAAGTTGCAGCAACCCAGATTCAGGCTGGACATCAGTAAAAGCTTCCTCATGGTCAGAGCAAGACAACAGTGGAACCAGCTGCCTAGAGAGGTGGTGGGCGCTCCCACACAGGAGACATCCAAAAAGAACCTGGACAGCCATCTGAGTGGGATGGTGTAAGGTAGTGTCCTGCAACAGCAGGGGGTTGGACTCAATGGCCTTCGTGGCCCATTCCAACTCTTCCGTGATTCTATGACTAGATTTGGGACCCAGGCCTGGGGTTCACTATCCCTACTTTACATGGTCTTTACATGTACATAGGGCTAAAGTCATGTGAAAATTGGGGGAAATTCTCAAATCTTAATAGATCTCAATAGGGAATATTTATGTTGTTTAGGCTTCAGGTTTTTTAGAAGGCCACTACAACCCTTTTCCAGCTTGTATGTTAGTGTGTTTTGGAATGTGGTCAGCAGCATTTTATTTTGTGCTCTGTTCTTCAGTGCAGTGCAGGTATCTTCAGAACACAAGAAAAGGCTCCAACAGTTCCTGGAGTTGAAGGAATAGTGAAGTTGAGCTGTGTTGCAGAGCGATAGTGCATGTTCAGCAGCTGTGGATCAAAGAAAAGCAAAATGATTTTGATCTGTTCTACTGGTTTGTTGAAAGTGTACTTTACTTGCAAGTCATGAGGTGACTAAACTGTCAAGAGAAGTACCTGAGAGACTTGGACTGCTTTACTGTGATGTTTTGTATAATAAATTTTTTTAACAAAGACTGCTCTGCAAGTAGTTATGATTTGTATTATGGGATTAGAAACATAGAAGGGGCCTCCTTCTGACCCCTGGCGCCAGCCAGCTCTGCTCATGACATGCCTAACGTGCATGTACAGCCTATCCTTGAACATCCTCACTGATGGGGCCTCAACCACCTCCTATGGAAGCGCATTTCATATCCTCGTAGTCCTAACTGTCAGGAAATACTTCCTGGCATCCAAATTGAACCTTGGTTCCCTGAGCTTTGCTCCATTAGAACATGTCCTGCCAGGGGAAAATAGGTCTCTACCCACTTCCATGTGGCACCCTTTCATGTACCTATATATCTCCAACTATATATCTTCAGAGTCTCTCCTCCTCCATACTCAAAAGACCAGTTCCCTCAGTCTTGCCTGATACAGCTTTCCCTGCAATCCAGCTACCATCCTTGTAACCCTACACTGCACTGATTCCAACCTGGCTATATCCTTCCGGTAATGTGGAGCCCAGAACCGAACACAGTACTCCAGTTTCAGGTGCACCAGAGTCGTATAGAGTGGCAGGAACACCTCTCTTGATCTAGAAGCCACACTTCAGGCTATGCAACCAAGGGTGGCATTTGCCATCTTGACCACTGCATCACACTGCTGACTCATGTTTAGTCTGCAGCAACCAGTACCCCAAGATCCCTTTCACATGATGGGTCCTCAGACTACGGCTGACTGCAGGGTAGATCCGGCCCACCATAGAGGTTTTGGACTCAAATGCATGGCGAGGTGGGGGCTTGCTTGTGTGGATGTAGTTTTGGACTCGCTCGGAGAAAAGCATCTCCTTGAGAGCAAGCTTCTGGCTTGCAACACATGCACACACATGCGTGCCCTGGCCCAGCCTGTGCCCCCCCACCCACACTGCCTTGGCGGCCCGCGCCCATCGCCAGCACCTTTCAACTGGCCCCCTGTTTAAAAAGTTTGAGGACCCCTAGTCTAGATGGTTGGGATGTGTCAGGATCCAAGGCAGCCTCAGTGTTCCATCTGCTGGTCAAGAACCAACACAGCCACCCTCTGGTAGTTGCAGGCTTACTCCCACAATCTACTGCAGCTTCCAGGGCCTTCTTGAGAACCACCTGGGACTCCTGTGGTAACAGTTGTATAAGAACTGGCTCTTTCTTCCATAAGCTGCTTTGTCAACAAAGGTTTTCATACTTTCTGTAGTGTTTCTTGCCTATTATGACCTGAACTCTTGGACTTTGCTCCTGTTCCTGAACCTTGCCTGGTTTCCTGGTCCCTGATTGCTCTTACTCCTGTGCCAGCCCTCAGGTACCTGCTCTTGTTTGTATTGCTTCCTTGGATTCCTGATCCCTGGTTTGTTTGACTGTGTTTTTGCCATTTGGGCTGGCGTTACCTTACTGTTTTCTCTCATTTCATTTATAGCAACAAATTCCTAAATTCTACTCTCCATATGACAAAGAAGCATGTGATAAAAAGAAAGGAATATGACATTTTAGAGTAGTAGGGATGTGAAGTAATAATTGTAGCTTAATGAAACTTACTGCCACATGAACAGACTTTAATAATACATATTAAGTGTTCTTTCTGCAAAAGCAAATTAAACAGTTCAAATGGTTAATTGAACAACAGTTTTTTATTGTCCAAATTTATTGCCCATTTTTTATTGTCCAGGAGATCACTGGAGAGGTATACTATGATTTGTACACAGAAATACCAGTGGCGTCTCTCACATCATAATTGTTCAAGATTTAATTACCAGTGTAGTATGGGAAATTCCACAACCATTCTGGTCAATTAAATTCACTATATAAGCTGGGGAAACATGAACCTTAAAATAATTTGAAGTGCGGCTGGCTCTTGTGTTGGAGCACCCTGTGTAAAACCTATCTACCTCTTTCAATAAAGAAAAGTAAGAGGCTAAAAAAAGTACATTCATAGGGCTTATGCGGCAAGCTACGAAGATTCCCGAGTACATTTTTTGTTTGCCAGCAGAGGTCACTGTTCTATACTTTGTAAATATGTCTGTCCCACGTTCTTTTTCTCGGGAAGAGCCCTGTTGGCCAGGAGAGAAGTTTGTGACCTTGGTGAGAAGTGTGCCTTCTGCATGCAGCCTAGGCCCTAGTTTCTCAGACTGTGGAGGTTTGAGAAACTAGGGCCATAACATTGCCGGGAGGGAGAGGAATGTGCGACAGACAGACTTCCTCACCAACTAGCTGGTAATTGGATTCAACATTTCCATGGAAGAATTTTTGTTAGTCAACTTTAGACTTCTGGAGGTGACTATACTCCCACTTGCCCATGTGTAAATTAAGCATATTTGTTCTGTTTATCTGGCAAAAACGGTCCTGGAGCAGCTTACTGCAATCAGTAAAAGGAAGACAGTTGCTGCTTGTAGGCATTCCTGCCCAAGAACATTTTGGAGGGATGGTTCTGCAGATGAACAGTTGCTTTAATTATAGCTTCCCACACACAAACTCAGCACTCTTAGTGTTTGTGTGTGGTTTTAGGAGTGGGGAGGGGAGGTACTGCACACTCTAATGATACCATTTACCTGCAGAGGCACTGAAGTGTTTTGCCTGCATGCCTGCCTCCAATAAAGCAGCTGCATATGTTTCCAGCTCCTGAGGGATATCTCTAGGAACAAAAGTCACTATGCTGAGGGAAATTTGGGGTAGAGTGGAATTATATTGGCTAAGGAAGCAAGTTCAGTTTGTCTCCCTCAACCAGCAGGCAAGGAATTGCAAGTCCCTTCCCTAACAATCACCTTAGGTTCAGCCCTTCTCTCATATGGTAAGTAGCAGTGGTGGGTGCCATGGGAACACAGCACCTTCTGGTATGCTGTTTCATTCGAAATCTGTTCATCTCCAAAGCAACTCTGCTTGGAAGGGAAGGATTTGTTGTTACACCAGGTAATCTTAGGGAGCAATGCATCTCAAATGGTGATGTTTGCCTTCTAGATTGCCTTAAAGATTTGGGATCTTTGCTGGGGTTTAACATGTTTTGCTGGTTTTGCATTCACACAAACACACACAAGAAAAGGAAAATGTATTCAGCAGAAGATATAGAGTAGATACAAGCATTTAGCCCAATGTTGTACAGACAGCAAATACTTGTGTTGCATCCCAATCTTATTCTATATTTCTACAGATATAAAGAACTTCCTGCCTAACAGAGAAAGAAGCTAACAGAGGGAGGGAGGGAATCTATTACCTGTCTTGCAAGGCGGCCTCTCAACGTCATTCCCTTGGGTGGGTAAGAAGGATGAGGAGCTGTCCTCTGCTTGAGTTAAGCTCAAAGCATCCCCCCAGTTCCTGTTATGTTCAGGGTGCATGGCTTCCCCGCCCCCAAGTCCTTGATCTTTATACTATTTCTCTCTTTAAGTGTGTCTATGGGAAATATGAGTTTCCCAGAATTATACTAATTGTTGGAAGGATGTTTGATTGCTTCTTGATGACCATAAGTATTGTTCCTCTGTGCTATGTGACCATGACCATGCCTATTTTCTGTGGGTCTTTGGCTGTGTTTGTAAACTGCCATTGATGAGGTAATGTCTAGATGTCTCAGCACAATGGGTCATCCTCTTGCAGAGTTGTTTTGCTTAATCATTTGAAGCGGAAAGCCTGACATACAGTTCCCCAATAATTCCAGCATTCATTCTTATATACCAGGATACTAGGTCTTTCTTCCTGAATTCAATCTTACCCAACATGGCCCATGGCCTGAAAGCCCATTCTGGCCTGGGAGCTTATTATGGCACTAATTGTGTTACATTGTGTAGCCATAGCGAAATGTGGCCATTTCTATTGTCTCAGGCCTGTGCTCCCTAATGTGATATGTTATTATTCCAAGAAAGGTTGAGGTTGCCAGCTCTGTAAGGACTCTCCAATTCCATTGTGCTTGAAATAGCAACTGTTTGTAGACAATAATGCATAATGCTCCTAATTAGACATGGAAACAATTGGAATACCTGTACATCCAGGCTTCAACCTGAAATTTGCCATCACTCCTTTGGTATTTTAGTATTTAGTCTCTGCATTTCTCTGGAGACAAGTTCTGCTCCATTCACCAGGAGAAGCAAAAGGAACCAAAGTATGAGAGCACACACGTATCCCTTCACTTTTAGTACCTTAAGCTGATGACAAAACTGAAGACAAAATGATAAATGGCATCTAGTACATTTTCTATATCTAGTTGTTTTGTGGTTAATCAGCCATGCTTGAGTCAAATGCATCTAGGCTTACTAACTACTGCAAGGCTGAAGAACCTTCTTGAATCAAGGTATGCATTATTGCCATCAGAATTTGCTTGGGTGGCCGGAGTGCATGGCCCCTCCCCAAATGGGCTCTCACAACTATTTGCACTCAATAAACACCCACTTAATCGCACAAACCCCCCTCTATTTATACATACACAATACATACCTATTCAATGTACACATCCATCCACATAGAAGTTGCCTCCAGTTCTCTCTCTCCCCCCTCCCCCCACCCACTCCCTGCAAAAGTGAGAACAAGTGAGAGTCCCAAGGCAAACTCACTTGCCTTCCTCCCTCTGGTGAGTACTTCTCTTTCTCATTCACTGATAGGAAAGCCAGCAGGTGCCACCCCAGAGACTAGAACATCTTAGCTCCATGGTCACCTTCTCTATCATTGCTTGTCTGCCTCCCTCTCAGAGGGTGCTTTCCAGATGAGACTTTACTGTGCAATCACACTGCCTCATTTATGTAATGTTATATGAAGTCCAGAATATATCATCTTTCATTTGTAATCCTCCCATCATTTTTATCTTTTTTCCTTGCCAATCTTTGATGAGCAAGCAAAGATGGATAGCTGTACAGTGCCTTCTGATTGGTAGCCCTACAAGCCCTCTGTCTGGAAGCAAAAATGATGACTAAAGAAGAATGATAGAAGTCTACTGTCAACAATGAAGAAATCAAAATTGGGAAAGATTTCACATATCTTGGCTCAGTCATCAGTTCAAAGGGAGACTGCAGCCAAGAAATGTGAAGACAACT